AAAAAAAAAAAAAAAAAAAAAAAAAAAAAAAAAAAAAAAAAAAAACATTTTCACATACATTGCATGTTTAATATACATTAAATCAGATATAATTGTAAATGTTTGATTGCTGACACCTTCTCTGGGTTTCTCTTGCTCAGAATCTTTTTCAGCTGTACTGCCTTCTGTATGGTTTGTGTCTTCAACAGACTTTGTCTCTTCTCCTGCAAAATGACGTACATCCACAAAATAATAAAATAATATTAAAGCATATCTTTGACATGATTTTTCCATTTGTTTTCTGAAAATATAGGTGTTTATTCCTACGTCTTCTCATTAAAACAAATCTTGCAGTTTGATTTACCATGGTATTTGACGAGGGGCACACTCAAAAACAAAACATGATTACTGATATTTGAGATAAAAATATTCTGTAAGACCAAACACATTTGCATAGTACTAGGGTGAAGATGGTTTTCAGCAGTTTCCTGTTATTGCTGAAAAGGTAATAAAACTTAACTCACATCGAAGATCATTGCTGCATTTAAACAAGATATAAGTATAATCTATCGCAATTAATCTTTCTTTGATAGCATATCAATAATTCTTCATTTTCTTCAATTGACTGTTTAAAAAGCGACTTTTTTTGATAAAATAAATAAAATTCATTAAGTGTATAAAAATCACAACATTCTAAGTGTTATGTATTTGAAAAAATAATAAAATGAAAATATAATAAATATATAATATTTTTTGAATTGAAAAACACCATAAAGTCCAGAATATTTTAAGGCATCCATTTTCTCCATCGGAATAATAAAAAACATAAAGTGCCCATCATAAAGGTTGTTTTGCCTTTTCATATTCTTGAACTGTATTCATACCAGTTTCTTTTTCTTTCTCCTTCTCTGATGCCATTTGACTTGATTTCTTTGGATTTTTCATTTTTCTCTCGAGCTTCTGTTTGGCTACTTTCTTACATTCTTCCGTGGTTGAGAGCATCTTGCTGAACTGAAAAATTATCACACAAACGGTTACAATTTGAAGAACATTTTCATATTCTTCTAACAAAATCTCAAAGGGACACTCCATGGGATTCTCCCACCAAAATAAATTTTCCTGGAGAGCAATTTTCTCCTACTCAAGAATCATTGTCTGACCCCTCCCTGTCAAGCACATTGCCTTGTTTTCTCACAAGAAAATGGTGGGTGTTTTGTATTGCAGCCCTGTTGTTTCAAGCTGGCAATGGCTACCCAAGGAAGCTACAGATACATTTATATCTTAAGTGTTTTACTGTCCTCATAGCCTGAATAAGGAAATACAAGAAGATTTACGGGACATGAAAATGACTGTGGGGAATTTTCAAATGCATGGAAAGAAATTCTAAATCCATTTTGGTGGGAATTCCCATGAAGTAGCCCTACAACATGTTAAGAAACAGTGAACCATTTGTTAAAAGCCAATTTAATTGTCAGTCTAAAATACAGTAAGTTAACACTCTTAAATTACAGTACAGCATCAGCCCACTTACCTCTTTGTAGTCCAATTTTCCATCTTTATTTTCATCTACTTCTTCTATCATGGCCTTCACCTCTGATTCTGTCATCTTTTCTCCTTTCTAATGTGAAATTGGGATAGGAATTATTTTTATTTAATAAGTGAGTGAAATCAAAAAAATCTGTAAAGGGTTTTATCAGTTACAGTATAAATGCAAAACAGTTTACTAGATTCATTAAAACAACATTTCATAAATACCCACATGTAAAATCTCTAAATATATTTTTCAGGTCCTTTATGAAAATTTTCATTCAATTAAAACTTACTGTAGTTAAAACCTTGAGCAATTCTTTGTGTGTTATGAAGCCATCTCCATTTAGGTCAATCTTCTTGAAAGCTTTCATCAAGTCATCTTCTGATGTGACAGGAATTTTCTCACAAATGTGACAAAAGTCATCAAATGTTAAGGCAGCTGAAAAGCCAAGCATGCACTCTACATCCTTTTTTTTCAGAGCAATTTTTCATAATTAAAAAAAAACTTATGCAATACAAATTAAATTTTATTTTCTAAAATGGATTTTTGTCAAGTTATGTATAATTAAAAAAACTAAAAACAGAAAACGAATTCTGAGCAAAGTTAAGTATGTATGTGAATTATAAGTGATCCATACTTGTTTCTTCTTTCCAATATTTATCCAAAATTCGCTTTGAAGGATTTCTGCCTGTTTGCTGAAGAACTAAAGCAAATTGCCACATTAGATATAGGTTTTATTTAAAGTTTATATACATATCATATATATATATTCATACTTGTATTTTACTTATCATTTAAATGTCCTCTAAATAAATGATAAGAGGATCTCTGCAAAACACTTTCTCAATTTTTTTTCAAATTTCCAAACACTTATTATGACCTGAACATAAAATAGGTTTTGCCACTGAAAATAAAACTCACCCTGCTGGAGTTTACTTCGAGATGTAATTTTATCATCTGTGTCATCAAACACAGTAAAATAAGCCGCTTTGCATTCATAAATTAAATCTTCCTTCTTGGATTCTGCAGATGAAGCCCTCCTGCCTGAAGAGGGTCTACTGCTAGATTTTCTGGACATTCTGTGTCTGTAAACGTGAAATTTGTTCTAAGTTTTACTGAATTTCATGTACTAGAATCACAACAAAATAAGCCCCTTGATTCAAAATATCCAGCTTTACTTCAGTAACATTATAGCTATATAATATATTTATTTTCATTGGCAGGTGCTGGATATCACGATGGGGGGGGGGGGCTGTTTGCTCCCCACACCCTCCCTCCCTCTCCTCTTTCTCCCTTTGTCATGGTGGGTCTTTGATATGTTATTTCAACCACAATGATATTTTTAAAATGGGCGTTAGGGCAATTAAACACAAATAATATGTGTTCTGCATTAACTGATTGTTCTTGCAATCTATCATCTGCATTTATGTTGTAGTTAGAACGTAAGATACATGCAATGTTATTTGACGTTACGGGGTCCGCCATATAGATAAACGTCCCAATAAAATATTCGCCCCGATAGATACGTCTCTATACATACACGTCTCAATAGATTTACGTCTCGTTAAATTTACGTTCCGATAGATCCACCAACAGATTCCTATAAACCCACGTATCTTTAGATCCAGGTACCGCTAGATCCATCTATCTGACATCGTAATCGGCTAAAAGGCCCATATCAACTTGCGTTGTGAACTTTAGAACACATTTTTATGTTCTTTTTTGTTTTGTTTTGTTTAGAACACATTTACATGTAAATTCAGAACACTTTTTACGTGTTCGAATGTTGCATTTTGAGAACGCTTTAAACAGTGTTCTGACGCTAGAACAGTAATTAAGCGTTGTGAAATATAGAACACACTTTTGTTCTTTTTATGTTCTTTCACTGAGTATTGTGTGAAAACGATCTAGTAGAATAATATATTGCTGACTGCGTACTGCCGTTTTAAAGAAGTGAATTTTATGTACTGAGTAGTAGCCTATACCAACTATTTCGAGCAATAGTGTACCTGTAATGGATCTATCGGTATTTGGATCTAAAAATACGTGGATCTATAGGTATGCGGATTTAAAGGACGTGGGTTTATGAGGACGTCATATCTATAGGAACGCAAATATATAGGACAGCAGAAAAAAATCGGATCTATCGGTATTTAAATCTAAAAAGACGTTTTTTCCGTTTTTCCTATATGTATCTATCGGTAACGGGAGTATAGGGACGTGTAATATTTTGGGACTAAATTTTATCCGTACGTACCCGACGTTACTATGTACAAATCAGTGCATAACTGCACATAACTGGTATTTTCATCACTTCCATGAAAACTTTACAGAACATTTACTTACCGCTGTTGTATTATATTTATAAGACGTAAGAATTGTCTGGTTCAGCCCATATTATCAGTCATTTACATTCAAATATCAACCTTAGAATCATCATCTACTGTTTGTTGTTGCTGCGCAAAAGATGTGCGCAGGTGTTCCAAGACAAGCCCAACAGTAACCTGCACTCTGTCCTAAATTTTACTTTTGTCTGACAAAAAATTTTAAACCAACTGCATCCCCTGTATAAAAATTGTGTTGCTGATTTTCAGCAACGACTTGTGTGGATGATTAACAATTGTTACTTTGGGAGTATCAGCCGTTTCATGCAACAATTAAAAATGATAGCTCTTTTCAGTTATTTTGTGTGTTCTCTACTTGCTAATCTACTGTTACATACCCAGGGGCCTCTCTGATTGTTTGCAGATTGTTTTTGAACGATTTAATGCCATTTTACTCATTTAAAATAATGCATTTCTTGGGATAGATTATTTTAATGAACTGATGTAATTTTTAAGAAGATTATACAATCTTTATACATTAATTTATTTCTGAGAATATTTAATGTCGGGTTTCAAGATTTCTGCCATACATACATGCATGAACAAACTTTATTTCTTAATTTTTTGCAGATTTTAAATATTAATTGGTCTATGAATTTTCTGCTGATTTTACGTAACTGGTTTTATCATCTTTGAAAAGACTAATTATTAGATTTCATTTTAAATAATTTAATTTGTACAGAGCAATTTTTATTGATTTATTGTAACAATTTGTTTAACATCATAAATTTCATAGTATCCGTTTCACATACTAAAAGAACACATTTATGGCTTAATTTTTTGTTTGCTTACTTTGAGTAATTTGCTCCTTTGGATAGATTATGAAATATAATTTAAATGGACTGGCCTAATTTCTTTAAGATATTTCCTCATAATTCAAGTAATTGATTTCTATGAATAGATTTAAAATTAAAATTCTTATGGAGATAAGTAATTAGTAGTTTTTGCAGATTTGATTTTAAAAACTGGTTTTATGTCTTATCACTTTTTTGCAAGATTTAATTAATTGAATGTTTAAAGGGATAATAACTCTTCGTTTTGGCCAAAAAATGGATTTTCCTGGAGTAAACAACAATTTTCCCATACTTACCAATGGTTAATGAATCCATTTTTACATTCAAAGTTAGTCCCTGGTTTTTTTCTAAAAAGTTTGGTTTTTTGTTAAAATCTCTTAAGAGATTATAACAGAGTATAGCCATCAATGGAGGTCACGTGGGCTGAAGACAAGCTCAGATATCAGAATAACAGCTATAACTGCCTTTTTTGTGGTAAAACAGTATGTATTATATTTCTATGAGTTGTTTACAATGTTTTTATTGTGAAATATAGATCTCATACGAAGAGTCATTATCCCTTTAACTTAAACACTCAGTAGATTTCACTGAATGAAAGTTCAGCAATTTATGTATGATTTAGTTTTAAATAAAGTGTATGCAATTAAGTACCAAGCACTCACACATTCTATTCTTTCATAGATTATTTTATTATTCTGATCACCATTTCCATTAGTCTTATCGCTTTCAACCTTTGACACCACATTCCGTTACTGCCAAAGCTAATAAGTTTAGCTTTAAATTTACTGAATACCATTTGGTTCCAAGTTAAGGACATACTGCTCACAGTTAAAGAAATGAAATGGAGGTGGGCAGGACATGTCAAAAGAATGAAGGACAATAGGTGGACAATCAGGCTTACAGAATGGACCCCAAGGTATGGACAAAGAAAAAGAGGAAGGCCGGTCAAACGATGGAGGGATGAATTAGATGACTACTGGAAGTCTTGGAAGAAGAAACCTTGGCCAAACTGGAAATCTGAGGCTCAGGATAGGAAACAATGGAAAAAGCATGCGAGGCCTTTGTCCAACAGTGGAACACTATAGGCTCTAAATGATGAATGATGATGATGATGATTTGGTTCAAGAATTTCCTTTGAAAATTGACTTGATGTGATTATCATCATTTGCAACAGTTACTGATTTTTGTGATTTTTTTAATGTCTTTTTGTAATGTTTTACACATAAAAGCTTTACCATAATTTCATCTTAAGTGACTTAAGTATATGATTAGGAAGATTTCTTTTGAACATTGGTATTATCAGATCATTTTTGAACTGTGTGAGGTCTCTACAAGTACATTTGTCTGCTTTGTGGTGTAGTTTCTTTTGAGATGCACTTGGTCAAACTGGTTATACGATACACGTTATAAAAGTCTATTAGAGTTTGGAAGGGATGTGCTCCTCCCAGTTATTGTATGTACTCCCCCCCCCCAAAAAAAAAAAATAATAATAATAATAATAATAATGAGCAAAATGATACAAGCCAAGCAATTTTTCGATCTCTCATTTTGTCCCTTCATTCACAAAAGTTTATGCCAGCTCTTTTATCCACTGGCTGTGTACCCAGTCACCAAATGTACAATTTTCAGAGCATAATTTTTGCCATTATCCATCTCCACCCCATTGCTAAATCTTTTTTTTCCTGAATTGTGAGCCATATCTTCCAATGTGCCAGATGTTAAATATCAGAATTAACAACAAACACTGAAATGGAGTAATAAAGCATTTTCTTTCTCAAATTAATCAGTGATACATGTATCACACACTATTTTCCAAGGTACAATTCTTTAGACGACATGCCTGAAAAACTGTTCATTGCTTGTCAAATACTTCTCATGTCATTTTTTTTACATAAATCCCTTGTAAATACCAGCTTTTAGTCAGCATCACCACAATATCACTACCTTTCCTTGCAATCCAAAAAAGTGACAATTTCCCTTTTTGTCCATTGCTGTTAATGCATAACCAAAAAAAAAAAAGTTTATGAAGACAAAGAACAAGTAACGTATGCAATCCACACAGCACAGTTCTGAATTACTGTCAAAACAAACTCCAAGAAGACATCTGATGATGCACCTTAGCTTTTAGTCTACTTCCCTAAGTAACATGGGGCTTCGGGATTTTCCATATCATATCTAAAGGTATCTATCCTATAATAGTCATCTCTAAGTGCTCTGTACTGACTAAACAAGGGATAGAACAATGGAATCCCATGGTGGTAGTGGTAGAGAAGGTCAGAGACTAGGGCCAAAGGAATGGCACCTGCCAGTGATGTTCGGAGAACAGCCAAGGGTGATGTTTTTAGAAAACTGAGGAACTGTGACATACCAATGCTAGCTTTACTCAAGCTCTTACCAGAATACATCTGCTGCTTTCGCTGTGTATCAATTTCATACGTTGCCACTTGTGCAACAAATGTAGTTACCCAAGCAACAACAAAGCGTGACATAAATGGGTGCTGAAAGAAGATTCCATCTTGGTTGGTAGACATGTATTTAGCCAGCTTGGTTTCTTCAAAGACGGTATCATACAACCCAAGCTGAATCCCCCTATACAAGGCAGCTCCAGCAACTGAGAGCACAATTCCTCTAGACAGGGTGTGATAACCATCCATCTTGATAGCATTCACTAATCCACCATTATATCGCTGGTGCGGTGTAAGTTCAATTTCTCCTTTTACCACTGCTTTCCCATCTAACATTAACCTCAAGCGGGCTACATCATATGGATGAGCTGCTGCCTGGCCAACCGCTCCAGCAATTGCCCCACAAATGACATGGACAAACACGTTGGTATCTCTGTTAGGGCGTATCCTCTTTAACATTTCACTGGTTACAAAGGTAGCTCCAAGGTTTGTACCAAATCGCAACATATTGGTAAAGCTTCCTTCGAACAGTGGCAATAATGCTAAAAAGGAAGAAAACAAGAGTTAGTAGTCATGGAGCAAAGAACAGCTTGGTACAGTACCCTGGAAAATGGTCAGGATAATTGATCCTTACTTACAGGAATGAAATGCGAAAAGAACTTACTTTTAAGAAACTGTGCATGCGAGCTTACACATACTTACATACACAATGAAAAATTTGCATCTTAAAATCTTCAGCAAAATGAGACGTATATGGGCTGTTGAGATGTTTTGTACAGAGACAGGTCAATCCCAAAAGAAACAGTTCTTGCCACAATTCCTTGGAAAGAAGGCATTATGTGAGAATGATGTGGAAATAATGCAAAACAAATCAGTATCAAATGTTATACTGCAGTTAACATAAGAAAAATTATCTTACCTCGCCTTTTAAAGTCAGTCACATTACGTATATAGGGCCACATAGAATACATAGATGGTGGATTGTATCCTTGAGTCTGGATGAAAGCCTTGCGCATGGCCATCACGCTGGTCGGCCCTGCTAAGACACCTGAGAAACCACCTGCACCTCCAGCTATAACCAGACTTCCAATGGGATGCCCAGTAAAATTTTCATATTTCTCTTCCACTTTAATCCCTCTAAAAATAGAGGGCTCATATAGATCGTCCATCTAAAAATAGAGTTTAAAAAATTAGATTTAAACATGGTGATCAGAAACTTTCGATTAGTATTACATACAGAATCTCCATCCAACTAGGCTCTATCTCATTGCATAGGGTAACAAATAAACTTAAATATATTATCATAGCATCAGAAAACTCGCTGATCCATCTTTTTGTGATACCGAATCCGGATACTGGTAATATCATATCTAGACTGGTGTTATACTGGTAATTTTATTCTTAACTCCAAACATTGAGAGTAATGTAAAAGTGACTATAGTAGCTAAATAGCTAAGTAAAAATAAGCCTAATTCTTGCTAGACCCTTTGATTTGAAGGTGAATGTGTTGATTTGTTCAGATTTGTTGCCAGCGTTTTGATGTCAAATAATAATATACACATCATCTGGACAACAACTTTATATTTAAAAATATGGTATTTACGCAGCGTGGTTGTTGCAAAGTATCAGAAACTAATGTCAAGCAGATATATTTTTATTGTCGTGAAGATCTTACCTTTGGAGCTGCCTGGAAGCCAACACAAATGTCGGATTTCTGCGAAGCATAAAACGATGATGTCATCAAAAACTGTGAAGCGTTATGGCACTGTCTAACTATCGCATTATAGAGAAAATAAGAAAGATACATTATTTGGGACTATTCCATAATAAATCACATTTTTTCATGTTATATAAGTATATTTCTCTGTTACCATTTTTTAGTTCGGCAATAATTATTTTTTATTTAAACATACTTAAAAACTTTGACACATGAAACAGGCGCGACTTTGAAGCTATTTACCAAATAGGCAGCATGTCGGGTTCGGTGGAGATCCCTCTCCGGGACACGGATGAGGTTTGTGCTCAATTTCAGTTGAACCGATTGACATCCTTATTTGTTTAAACGTTATGACATTTTTCTAAGCACTAAGAAATATTATCCGTATTTAGATTTACTCGGAGGAAATATAATAATTACTTACTACATGCTGACCGAATATTGTAAATAACGCAAACTGATGCTGAAAAGCTAATAATGCCAAGAACCGGTTTCACACAAGAGGTTGTCTTTAGCTCGGAAATCAGACTACACTAAGTTAAGACAGATGTACCATCTAAGGTCGTTTTGTTGACCCGACCCCTGCCTTTTAATTTCATCTTCTTAATGCCAAAGTGGCACATTCTTCTTGCAGGTGATCGAGCTGGACTTGGATCAGCTTCCAGAAGGCGAGGAAGTGTTAAGTATTTTAAAACAAGAGGCTGCCCCACTACATACTTGGGTTACTTTGGCAGTGAGTAGCTAAGATATATACCTGTCATGAAGCAGATTATCCATCATATTGTTCATTAATAAACCATGTGTAGATCTTTATATGTTTATTATGGCATTTGTGTAAGTTTTAATGCAAACGTGATGTAATTAGAATAAAAATAAGTTTTGTGTTATAAAAAGTGAATATTGCTCTATTCTAGCTTGAGTATTACAAGCAAGGATTTGCAGAAGACTTCGAAAAGATCTTGGAAGCCTCTAGAAGTGATGCAAATATTAACTATGACAACTTTGAGAAAGATCAAATGCGTGCCCTGGATAGCCTGGCAGCTTACTATGTACAGCAGGCCCACAAAGAGAAGAACAAAGACAGAAGAAGACAAATGTTTACTCAAGCCACTTTGCTATATACAACTGCAGATAAAATCATTATGTATGACCAGGTATGGAAGTTTTATATACTTAATTTGTCTAAGAGTCACTGTACTAATACAGTACTAGTACAAAGTTTTTTATTGAGTCAAATTTGTATGATGATATAGATTTGTGAAAAATGGATTTAACAGATAAAAGGTGGGTATTTTGGAAAATAAGCAATGGGCATATCTTTCTCTTCGATTTCAGTTTACTTGGTCATTGTGGTAATAACAGTTGTAGAGTTAAACTGTGACAGCTTTTTCATTGATAAATCACAGGATCTGTTCCCTCAGTTTATATGTGAAATAAATCTCCAGTTGGTTTTGGTGTAGACATTTATGAACTTTTTTCATTCTGCTTTTAGAACCATCTTCTGGGGAGAGCCTACTTCTGTTTGTTGGAAGGGGACAAGATGGACCAGGCTGATGCTCAGTTCAACTTTGTGTTAGGCCAGTCCAGCAATAACATCCCAGCCTTGCTTGGTAAAGCCTGTATTGCATTCTACAAGAAAGACTACAGAGGAGCCCTGGCATATTATAAGAAAGCCATGAGAACCAACCCAAGGTGTCCTGCCTCCGTTCGCCTAGGCATGGGCCATTGCTTTGTAAAGTTAGGCAAAATAGAAAAGGCTAGGTAAATGAATGCAATATATGTGTGGAATAAAGTTTTTTTTTTTTAAATTATTGTTTGTGTTAATTTGAAATTTAAACTTTATTCTCTGTGTGTTTTGGTAAGAATTATTTTTATAATTGCTTGTTTGATGAAAGTTTTCAACAGCTTTGCTCTTTTCTTTCAATTTTTATATGTCATAAATGTGTGATTGATATATTTTTCCAGGGCTGCATTTGAGCGGGCTTTGCAGTTAGACTCCCAGTGTGTGGGTGCTCTTGTTGGGCTTGCCATTCTCGAATTAAACACAAAGTCTACAGAATCAATAAAAAATGGAGTTCAACTTCTCTCCAAGGCTTACACTATTGATTCTACAAACCCTATGGTACTGAACCATTTGGCTAATCACTTCTTCTACAAAAAGGTAAGGTTATTGCCATCCATTAAAAGATAATTATTATTATCATTTACTGAAAATGAAAGATTTCACCAATTTTGCAAGTACAATTACCAGTTACAGATAAACTAAGGAGTAATTTGAACAGGCATGATCCAAAAACTAAAATATCATTACTTGTATTTTTGGAAATTCTAGAAAAATACATTTGCATTTCTAAAATATGAAGTAATGTATAACTCCATGATGTATGTATGTGCATATCACTGATATACTTGAAAAAATTCTATACCAGGACTACCAGAAAGTGCAACATCTTGCTCTGCATGCCTTTCACAACACAGAAAATGAAGCAATGAGGGCTGAAAGTTGTTACCAGCTGGCACGTGCCTTCCATGTACAGGTAAAAATCCATGAAGTTTAAATTATTCTGTCAGTATTAACAAAACTATTATTTGATGAGTTTTATTATCGTTTGATGTAGATGTTATGTCTTATGTGATTTAAGAATTTCATCACAGTATCCAAGTTTCTAAATATTGTTGTTGGTTGTTGATTGCTGTGTGTGTGTGTGTGTGTGTGTGTTTGCGTGTGTGTGTGTGTGTGTTGATGGGGGTAAGTTATTCATAAGACATAAAAATGTTCACATTGCAGTATCAGGTGTAAATAATGACAGAAAAGAGAAAAAACAATTACTTAATTTTGTCTTTATACTTTGCAGGAAGACTATGACCAGGCTTTCCAGTATTACTACCAGGCCACCCAGTTCTCTTCCCCTAACTTCACACTGCCTTTCTTTGGGCTTGGACAGATGTACATATATAGAGGAGACACTGAAAATGTAAGTTTTTGCAACCAATGTGGTTACTGTTAATTTTAACCTGATTTTTAGGCATGTCATGTTGACGTAATTTTGAATGTTCTTGTGCCAATTTATATTTTGACTAGGCAGTTGCAAAGCTTGTAATTATCAAATTGTGGAAATATGCAGTCTGCAAATCTAGAAAATGTTTTCTGTGGTAGGCATCCCAGTGTTTTGAGAAAGTCCTGAAGGCACAACCTGGAAACTATGAGACCATGAAGATTCTGGGGTCACTATATGCCAACTCCACCCAGCAGGAAAAGAGAGACATTGCTAAGGTATTCAGAAGATATTTGTGGTTAGTGCTAGAACTATAACAAATTTCAGAGAACTTTCAGTTGGTTTTATCAGTGAATATAGTTGAAGTGAAGTTGCAAAGAATGCATTTGAAAGTCACTTTGTCTAAAGCAATGTGATTAAAAAGCGGCATCAAAAAGATATTTGTATGTGCTGCATGTTTTTATTTTCCATTATTGATTTTAAAGTTCTGATAGTGTTGGTTAGTTAGTAATAAGTTGCAATCTGTAAATTTTAGTGTTTACCTTTTTGTTCCACCAATGCCTAGGAAACGGTTATGTTGTTAGTACAAAAAAGCAGTATTTTTAAAATGTACAAAAACATTTAAGTTAGACATACCAGAATAAACATGGCCATTTAATATGATTCCTTACTTGATTCCTGTCTGACTTATTCATGCAGCAACATTTGAAGAAAGTTACAGAGCAGTTCCCTGATGATGTAGAAGCCTGGATAGAACTGGCACAAATCATGGAACAATCTGATATTCAGGTAAGGATATGATATAGAGCCATTTCCAGCCTTAGTCACCTGCCCACCATCACCAATGATTCACCACCAACAACAAGAAAACAACATAGGTATGCATGCATGCGCACATATGCATACACAAGTATGCTTACACATACATCATAAAAAAAACTTAAACTTCAGGGATGCTAGTCTTCCGGTTTTTACCGGAATTCCGGTTTTTTGCGTCCAGTTATAAAATTTTCTGGTACTATATTTTGTTCCGGAATTCTCGTTTTTAACGTGGTCGCGGACTGGACGAACGANGTCTTTGCCAAAAAAAAGTTCAGGTTTTCTTTCCGGACCCCACTAGCATCCCTGTTAAACTTGTTTTCTTTGCTCAATTAACCCATTTCCAAAAGTCAATTATTAAATGTGCCAGACCTGACTGTTGTTCTTTAATACAACATATGTCAACTGCAGGGTGCCCTGCAAGCCTATGGGACTGCTACCAGGCTACTGAAGGAGAAGGTCGAGGCAGATGTTCCTCCAGAAATTCTGAACAATGTTGCTGCCCTGCACTTCAGACTGGGCAATCTGCAGGAGGCCAGGGTAAGAACAGATTATGATTTTAAGATTGGGGCAATCAAGACAGAGTGTGATGGTGATATTGTCCCCTGTGCTAGCAGTTAACTGTACCGAATGTCTAAGTGTGCATGTCTAACTAAAAGGTAACTACTTCTATTGTGTGTGTGGAATTGTGGATGATATATATTTTAATAGAGCATATTATTTTCAGAGATACTATGAATCTTCGCTGGAAAGATCCAAGATGGAAGCCCAGAATGATGAGACCTACTACAGTGCCATCTCTGTGACAACTACGTATAACCTGGCCAGGCTGTATGAGGCACTACATGAGGATGACAAAGCAGAGAGATTGTACAAAAATATTCTCAGAGAGCATCCCAATTATGTAGACTGTGAGTCAGTTTGTTATTTTAAACACGCAAGTGTCCTTGTTCCCTTTTGTAGTCAATATGGTTGGAACTGGCAGTATTTCTTCTTATAGATAATTATATTATAAAGAGTTTTTTAAAACCCTGCTCCACATTCATCTCAGCATTGTGTACAATATAGATATGACGGCTTTTAATTCTAAAACGTACAAACTAAAATTAGCAATTTTACAGGAAAAAGACCTCCATAGGATGACAAGAAGAAAAAGAAATATTAAAACCTATATTTGGAGATATGATGATGTTGAGGTATGAACATATCTCATTCCAGGTTACCTGCGTCTCGGATGTATGGCTCGAGACAGAGGTCAGATTTATGAGGCATCTGATTGGTTCAAAGAGGCACTGCAGATTAACCAGGTTCGTTTTAATCCACAAAGGCCAAAAACAATTAGAAATCAATAATCTTTGTTAATTTTTTTCAGGTAAACATTGGAGAAATCTGGGATTTCACTAATAATCTTCATCAAAATTTGAATATTTTTTAAATTACATAAAATTTCCGTTGGGTACGTGTCACCCAAGTTTCAAAGAAAGATTCAGTTAAGTTTTTTACCTTTTTTAAAACTTCTGTAACATGACATGTTTTCTCCTGTTTTAGGATCACCCAGATGCCTGGTCACTGATTGGTAACCTTCACCTTGCCAAAGCTGAGTGGGGACCTGGACAGAAGAAGTTTGAGAGAATCCTGCAGAGACCTAGCACCAAAGATGATGCTTACTCCATGATTGCCCTGGGTAATGTCTGGCTACAGACCCTGCATCAGCCTATGAGAGACAAAGAAAAGGTATGATACATATACTAAATAATGGTCTAGAATGTTAGCCACTGGTCCCATGCCTAATGCACAATTCACAATTGAAGGCAGGCCAGTATAAATGATTAATGCCATTCTTGTTTTCTAGGAAAAGCGTCACCAGGACAGAGCCTTTGCCATGTACAAAGCTGTCCTCAGAAATGATTCCAAGAATATCTGGGCTGCTAACGGCATTGGTAAGGACAACAATGCAAAGTTTTTGTAATTAGGAAAGTTCATTTAAAAATCTTCTGATGTGGTTGATTTAACTGCTATCATGTAGACTTTACATTGGAAAGGACATTAACCGCTAGAGTGTAGAAAAAGTGCTTTAAACTTAATTCCTGTTTCTAACATTTTATTATTTCATTTTTGGCCCTTTGTCAATCTACACATTAGGACTTACACAAGCACATGTGTGTTAACTTTTGCAAAGAACTCAGTTTATTTATTGCCAATATGCAGTCCATCTTGGTCCCCTTTAAGTGTTTTCTCACATATTAATCTTGGTAAAGTCACCACAGGGATGTGTATGCTTCATCAGAATATAAGCCCACTTACTGTATCTTTTACTTCTTTACCTTTCTAGGCTGTGTGTTAGCACATAAGCAGTGTATAAATGAGGCCAGGGATGTGTTTGCACAAGTGCGTGAAGCCACAGCGGATTTCTCTGATGTCTGGTTGAATATTGCTCACATTTATGTGGAGCAAAAGCAATATGTGTCAGCCGTCCAGATGGTGAGCTTTTTCTGATTGAAAATGGTGTTTTTTTTTTTGTTTTTTTTTACTTTAGAGTGCTATATTTTTAGTGTGATGGTCAATTTTAATAGCTTTAAGATGATGGAAAAACTGCATAATATATTTAAGAATAATTTGAAATATAGTACAAAAGTAGTCTCACATGGGCATTTAAATATCACTTCTATGTAAAGGCTATGTTGTTATTAGATCTAAACTTATTTGGAAGAAAATGGCAAAGGGAATTCTGTATATCTTCTTGTTGTATTTCAGTATGAGAACTGCCTAAAGAAGTTTTACAAACACCACAACACTGAAGTCTTGGTGTATTTGGCCAGAGCATACTTCAAATGTGGTAAACTAAAGGAATGCAAGCAGACTCTACTCAAGGTAAGTTTGTTGCACTTAGGAAATTGATATCTATTCTCTGGTACGTGACCCATTATTGAACAACCAAATTTATTATTAATATTCAACAAGTGATTTATAAAGCAAACTTAATATTGATGTTAACGAAAAGTTCTTTGACATTTGCTATGTTTGTTGACATTTCATTAAGCATAAATATATTTTGATAATGGTTCAAGAACAATCTTTGATGTGAATCCCATCTTGCAGGCCCGCCATGTTGCTCCAAACGACACAGTGTTGCTGTACAACATTGCCCTCGTGATGCAAAAACTGGCCACACAGATATTGAAAGATGAGAAGAGCAACCTTAAGACAGTGCTGAGTGCAGTGCATGATCTGGAATTGGCTCATAGGTATGCAACTCAATGCCATATGTTCACCTTACACATTATAAGAACCTTATCCAACATTATGGTCCTGGAGATTCTAGAGGCCTGTTTCACAAATAAAATTAAGTCAGAAAGAACATTAAGACCAAGATATTAATCTACTTTGATTCAAGATAATTGTGTGGTACTCAGTTCAAATGAAATATTGCACCATGTTTTATAACAAGAATGATGTGGCTAATAGATTAGATCTAATGGAGTAAAGTGATTTTTTGTCTAAAAGTTAGGACCATTTTTCAGGCCACTGTCTTTTTTTCTCATTCACCTAGCAGACTGTCACTTTTTCCTTTTCAAAGAGATGATGTGTCTAAGTTCCAACATGGTCGTATTATTTTTATCATGCACATTTGAAATTTAAAATAAAATTAGAATCAAATATCAGTGAAGTTTTTTAAGATGGAAGTTTTATTCTTTGTCTTTTTTTTCCAGATTTTTCAGTTATCTGAGCCATGCTGGAGACAAAATGAAATTTGACTTGGCACAGGCAGCAATAGAAGCTAGGTAAATATGATGTGAAGAGATTTAAGATACATACTGCCTAAAGAGGTGAATAAGGATAAAGATAGGGGATGGAGTTTTTCCTTTTGGCTGATTTTCCTCTTTCACATGTGGAAATGGGATTTATAAAGTTGTTGGATTTTCGTATGAAATTATCAGAAAAAATATGAAATTCAGGAAAGGGTTTTTCTCCCATTTTCAACCATTCTGTCATAACATCCTTGACATAACATAATGATAGTTTTTTGTTAGAAATTATTTATTCACATTTTTTGTAATATAATTGACTTACTCACTGATGTCCATGTTTAATTTGTAGGCAGTGCTCTGATTTGCTGAGTCAGGCGCAGTACCATGTGATGAGAGCTCGTAAGATTGACGAGGAAGAACGGGAACTGAGAAAGAAGCAAGATGATGAACGTGAAGCTCTGAGACAAAAGCAACTGGAAGAACAGGTATTGTAACTTAATATTTATCGTTTAAGAAAATAAATAATGAATTTGATGTCCTTACCAGCTTACTGATATTTTTGATTATAATTAAAAAAAAAAAGAATTCGATTGACATGTTTTACCATATGTAACTTATTGCATAAGATATTCAGAATATAAATATTTAAGATATCTGAATTACTTCCATTATTTGAAAAGTAACATAAACTAAGTTATTTTTCCCAACTTGTCTTTTAGCAAGAGAAGCTCCGCCAGAAAACCGAAACAGAACAGCGTATGCTTGAACAGAGAGCTCAGTTCATTGAAAAGACTAAGAATTTACTGGTGTTTGATCATGTAGCAGAAGATAAGCCCAAGAAGAGTGGAGGAGGGAAGGTAAGATTAGTCCCTCATATCTACTTATATTATCTTATAAATCTTTTCAAAAACTTTCAAAGATGTTTGTAGCATAAAACTGTCTGTTGCAGAGCAGTGAATGTCTTAAAGCATAATCGTTTTCAAGATAAATTATTTTAGTTTATTTTGGTTATATAGTTCAAGGAAATATGTTTTAATCCCATTCAAATCTCTGTTAGAGTCATAAGATGATATTACGTACTTTTTGACTCTCACTTGTTTTTGACATTTTGTGTCACATGTGTATGAGATTGGTAAGATAAGTTGGCTGAAAATATGATGTGATAATATTTTAGAGAGGCAGAAGAGTGGAGGATGACATCATTGACGACAGTGAGTCAGACGACAATGCTGCCCCGAAGAAGAAGCGCCGTCCACGCGGCAGTGGATCTGAAGGCGAGGGTGGTGAGGAAAGAGGGAGAAAGAGAGTTAAGAAAAGAAGGTTTGTGAACTTTCTGTATGACACTTAACCATTATTGGAACATAATCATAACTGTATTCTGATATTTCTCAGCATTTGATAACCAACAAAATAAATTTTAAAAAGATACCAAATTTGAAGATTTGCTCATAAAGCACCGAACTTCATTTACCAGGATGTGCCGTAGCAGAAATCAACCGGATTGAGTGTTTTTATTTCTGACAATTCATTGCATTAAATTATTTGTAGTCTTTAGGAGAGCCATTAAAAGTATTTATAAACCACTGATTTTATTTAAAGGCCCAAAGGTGAAGGGGGTGAGGGCAGAAAGGGACGTGCCCAGAAGCCTAAGAAAGAAAAGAAGGAAGCTGTTGGGGAAGACGGACTTACTGCCAAGCAAAGAAAGAAAGTGGTTTCAAAGGCCATTATCTCTTCCAGCGAGGATTCAGACTCTGATAAGGAAGGACTCAAGATCGATGAAAGGTAGTTTAGCTTATACGATGTAAAAAAAAGTGAAAAATAAAATATGCCAAATAATACATTTTTAAAAACTCTTTTTGAAATCGATTATAAAATGAATGAAAGAATGTTCTCATGTTTCTGATACTTGAAGTCGTGTATGCAATCTATTTGAGATTTTTATTTTCAACTGTTACAGATCTTCTTCCGGCAGTGAAAGTGGGGGAGGCGGAGGCGGCAAGAAAAGGCGCATTCTCTCCTCCGGGAGTGAAGATGAAGATGCAAACCGATCCGGGGACAATAAGGGAAGCGGGGACGAGGGTAGGTCCAGGGGCAGTCGCAGCAGGAGTCGCAGCGGCAGCCGCAGTGCCAGTCGGAGTCGAAGCAGAAGTCCCAGCGGCAGTCGTAGCGGCAGTGGAAGCCGTAGCCGCAGTCGCAGCAGGAGCAGGAGCAAAAGTGGAAGTCGAAGTGGGAGCAGAAGCCCCAGCAGGAGCAGGAGCCGGAGCCGTAGTGGGAGTAGAAGCCAAAGCCCCGCAGGTTCGAACAGAGGCAGTGGGAGTGAGAAAGAAGGGTCAGAGGGCAGAGGAAGTGGAAGGGACGACGAAGGATCTGATAAAGGTGGCGCTAGTGATAGTGATGGCGGCGGGAGTGGCAAAGGCGCAAGCGATAAAAGTGGCGACGAAAGCGACTGAGATGTTGACTATGAATATAAAAGTGGCTAGTTTTTAGAGTGACTTAGTTGTAATCAATTATTTTATAACCGACAGAGTGATAAAGTTGTTTTAGATGGCGAATGGATTTATGGTGTACACTCTCATTTAGTATATTTCTTTAATTTCTTAAGTTGCAGTAAAACTACTTGCATGCAATGAAACAACACATTACTGAAACAAAGAAAAACGCAAATTTTTGCCTGAAAAATTAGTCCTGTGAATAAAAGATGACGAAGACGGAGTTGAATATTTTCCTTTATTTGTGTTCTACCTTGACTCCAGTTTTTAGACACTGGAATTTAGTTTTAAAAAATGAGGTTTATTTCACCCCTCTCTGAACTTGACTCTCCAGTTTCTATGTTTTTAAGTAGGGTTTTTAACCATTTAAAAAGTAGTGAGATAAAATAAACTACAGAGTACCAAATTTTCAGAGCTGCCTTTTTTAATACGATTTACTGTGTCTGCAACCTTACATACCCAACAACCTGAAAGGGATAGCTTCCAGTTTCTTTGATAGTTATAATTTAAAAATACCACATTGATTTTATTTTATGGGAATGCGCCTAATAGAACATATTGAAATCCCAGGTGTGAATACATTTTGTTTCCCCATATAGATACTTGAAATATAATCTAAAAGAAATTCACCTGGATTGAAGTTAAATCAACGTTTTCAAGTGTAAAATTACATTACGTCTATTTCCGTTTTCTCTCTATTAACCGGCTAGTGATAAAAGGAGGTAAAGAATCTGTCAAAACCATCTGGTGGAAATGTGGTCGCATTGATCGGTTAAATACACTTGAAAACCTAGTATGGATCGCATGTCCCGCGATCAATACTACCTGGTTTGATAACCAATGGCTGTTTGTCGAAGCATTACCTGGCCGCGTCTGAATAAGAAATTCACTACGCCATTGTCTTTACTACGCTACCAGGACTGTATCGATTAAGTTAAGCGTCTCGTTATTCCTCGACGTCAAGTTCGTCTTGGTAATTAACTTTAAATGTTAAGAAACGCTTCGACGTGAAATGCACGCAGGGGATTGATCGATAACAGGAGTAACCGTGTGTATGAGTTGGAAGTTCATCATTCTTAGCATAAAAATGGCTAGTTATGGGTATACAAATATTGTGTCGCGACAACGGCAACGCTAACGATTTTTACGTTAAGTGAATAGTAGGCTTCGATTTTTGACACAACGGCTGTCATACGATGTTCGGTCTAGTTGAATAGGTGGGTCGGATTTCAGTGGAGAACAAGCGAGCTTGCCAAAGGTTGCCAGGAAGTTCTATCTGCCTCGCGAATAAGACGACTTTGATTTGTTTCAGACATGTAGGAAAATAGAAGTGGACAGAACTTCGTTCAAGCTGACCTAACTGAGAATTTCAACCTACGTTATTTAAGGCAAAGTTTCGATCAAACGATTGAAATATACTTTTGCAATAATCATGGCCGAGATAATGGAAGCTGAGGGTATTCAAGAGAAACTGAGGAATTTAACGCCAGAAATGCAGGTAAGTTGACAGTGCGAAGGCGACTAAGATTTCCGAAAGTTACCACGGGTGTAGCTGATAAGCTGTTACCATCATGTGTATTGTCAGGCCCATAGCCAGGGATTTCACAGGGGAGGGGGTCTTTTTCTGATAAAGTAGACCTTTAACTCAAGAACCATGAGATCTTCGTGAACATAGATCAAATTTTGCCAAGAGTGGGCCTTTTCCTGGCTAAAAAGAGCGGTTCATTCGAACCCCCGTGGCTACGGGCCTGATTATGGAACGCTTTACCAACTGCTTCCACGCACACCTGTCAGTAACGGAGTGCAAAGCGATTCATTTCACTTCTTATGAACCATTTGCGATTATTCTTCGGTCTGAACGCGTGTTTTTTTTTTTCTACAAAATCTTCATATGTTTCATATACAAATTGTTGACGATGAATTCCCATTTTTCTAGTGTAAAATGATGCAGGCATTCAGTTTCATATTTTCGATTTGCTGCGGCCAAAAGAGAGCATCGTCTTCTGGATATGTTTTAATATTTCATGGCCAAGTTGGCTTTTTATTCCTTGTTACTATCTCAATCCCTTGTATTTTCTCATCATTCACATCTGATAGAACGAATACTAATTTTATTTACTATTCTGGAAAGAAATGGTATTGACGCTTAAAATGTTCAGAGAGTATTATATGCCTGGACTGGCAATAAAAAAGATGAAAATAAGAGAACACCTTCCTGTGTCGTGCATAGCGACCAAGATGGGAGTTTCTACGAAAACAAAATTTATTAAAACGGATCCATCTTAAACAAATATATAACTCCCATACAACAAAGATTTAGTTCGATTTATATAGATAAGAAGAAAAATAGATTAAAATCTAAGAGACCAACGCGTGGTTTGTAAAACTTTATTGACTGTAGATTGTTGATTTGCTTAAGCGAAACTCTCAAGCAATAGTCTAATTTTGAAGTCAAGAAGCTATTTTAATCGTCCTTGTTAAATAGCTCACTTTCCTGGAACATGCAGGCTGTAAAGTATGATTGATATTGACCTAATTTGACAACCAAAAGTGCCGTAAAACTCTGTCTTTATTTTGAAAATTACAAACGAACAGCTGCGTTCCCAGATCAAAACTGTTCCAGTTCATACTGTTTGTCCCGTACTCGCAATCTTGTCTTGATTACCCATAATCTTTTTGCAAGAACAAGAAAATATAGCTTCCAAATCATCTATCCTTTTTAAAATCCCATGTAAAGTGGATGTTTGAAACTAACCATGTTATTTATCATTAATACTGCCTTGAAATACTTCAATATATCTTGGACGAATCAAACGTTTTATACGCCCAAGAATAAATCAAATTATGGACGTGCACAAGTACTTTGGTTATAGATTTTGGCCAACAGTTTTTACGTGGACAGTGTCTCCATTACGTGTCTGTCTGATAAAACTGTCTAGCACAGGTAACAATATGAATATTAAAGGGGTAGGCCTAATTTAATGATCGATCATATAAAAATCAACTTGATCCTAAGTGACCTTCGACTTTGCATCTAATACCACCAAATTTAATTCATTGTATTGGGTTTTATAAAAGGTCGAAGAACCGACTGATCTGAGAGCAGATATTGGCAAAAGAAGCTTGCCAATCAACTGCAAGTCGATGAAAAAAATTGTGGGTGGGTCCCTATATGCTGCTGTATAAACGAATGATATTACTTGAAGATTGAACATCTTTTTTCTGTTCTGAACAATGGTCATTTGCCTGTTAGACCAAACACTGTTTTTTAAGCTTTTTGACATTTCTTCAATTGAAACAAAGGCCTCAAATATCGTATCGTAGGGATAGAGTCGATTTTGAACATTTGTAAATAATAAAAAGAGTTTTGTGAACATTGATTGACTAGGACATGCTGCATCTCAATCATTTTCATTTTTTCGGTTGTAAAAAAAGTAAGAGAAAACAGAGACTCATAATCGCCCTAGTTTGCAATGGATTTCTTTCGGGGAGAGGGAAGTCTAAAATGTTACCTGGACAACTCATTAAAGGGATAACAACTGTTCATTTTGGCCAAAAAAAAAAGAATTTTCCTGGGATAAAGGACAATCTTCCCATGCTAATCAAGGGTTAACGAATTCATTCCCACATTCAAAGCAAGTCCCTGTTTTTTTTTTTTTCTAAAAAGTTTTTTTGTTTGTTTGTTTGTAATATTCTGTTAAGAGATTGTTACAGAGTGCAGCCATCTATGGAGGTCACGTGACGCACAAATTCCAGAATAATTGCGCTAACCGCCGTTTTGGTGGTAAAATAGAATTTATTATATTTTTATCAATTGTTCACAATGTATTTTTTTGTATAATATAGATAAATTTTACAAATAGTTGTTATCCCTTTAAGATAAAGTGTTTTGAATGAATTGATATGGTGGCGCTGGCATTGGACTAGAGAGAGAAGTATCGAAGACGCACCTTAAATCCTTTTTACAGACTATTTCGAGTTACCATTTCCCACCCTTTGCCTTTGACGCTTTGCTTTGGTTATCCACATATGTCATAATCAATGTTGAGCATGAATTTATCGTACAAGAATTCGAGGAAATTAAAATCATAGTGCTAATATTTGATCAGCAACGTGAGATATTTGCTGACCATGTTTCTCGCCAGAGTGGTTTGCAAGCGCTCTCACGGTAGCCTCATGAGAAAGAATCAAATACATTGTATAATAATAAGTAATCTTATGGGCATGTTCCTATCGTAAAATGTGTTTTATAGTCACAGATGAAGATACAAATAATCAAATAAGATAAAAAGCTCATATTGTGTTTTAGCCGTTCCTAAACTAAAACCCCAATTGCTATTCTTTCGAAAAAAAACTGTGCGTAGCCTATTTGATTATCGACTGATGATAAGTTGATTTAATGAAAAAAAAAACGGGATAAAAATGTAGCAGTATTGATCCACATTTTCTTTCAGTAATAAGGTATAAAATAGCCGATAACACCGTCATAGTACGGCAATTGGTTTTTTTGTTATATTTTTACACCTCGACCACTAACTAAACCTATTGATTCCCAATGTGTGACCTGGGAGGCACCCCAGAACAAAAGCAGTCTTTGACTCATGTTGCAAAGTCCAAGTGAAGTTAGTACTTTGATTAGATCATTTAACACGATTTTTTTTTCAATTTGTGTGTAGGACATAAAAACGGTGTTATTTTTAGGGCTACGTCATCGTGATGTTTTCATTGTGGCATCTACACAATGCTTCATATGGATATTCAGATGCTTCATTGTGTAACGTCTATCAAATCAATGTCTTTTAACGAGGATATTCATGACAAGACCATATGTCAATAACTCAGATATTGCATTGAATAGAAATGGTTAAAATCAAACACAGAATGCTACAGGGACATTTGTTTTATTGAAAGTTTTTAAGCAAAAGGACATCCTCCCTTGGGCTTCATACAAAGAGCAGCTTTATAATTTAATGATGTGACAGTGTGTTTTTCATCCGAATGAATGATGATTTAGGTGCGCCCACAGCAACACAGTAACAGATAAACACTTGTTATCTAAGGTCGTACATGATCATTGTTCGTTCTGTTTACTGCATTACATAGTACTGTAAGCTCAAAGAGAATCTGAGAACATTTCGTAAAGGTACCAAGTGTTTGTTCACGATTAGGCTGGGTATCGGAAATGTAATTCCAATATGCAATGTCAAGCTGAAAGTTTTTTGTTTGAACAAGAAACCAATGATTTAAAACCATTTTTGAAATTGAATATATCCAAACACTTCCAAAGCCATTGCGTTTAATTATTAGGGAATTTCTAGCTTCAAATCACAGGGTTTCGTACTCATTTAGCTTTGACAACTGGACCAACTGTAAAACACGTGTAGGGTGGCTTTAAAAATATCAAAATCACCTGTTTAGATAGCTACAGCATGTAATCATGGACAGGCTATCCTAATCCTTTGGAAGAGCCATGAGCCATTTCACAACATTTATAGATTTTTGTGTAAATCAATATAAAACATTTGATAGTCGGGGTGGCGTATAATGAAAGTGACAGATTATTATTGCAAAAGTTGATACCGCGACACTTCAGGATGATATGTCGTAGAACCTCATTCATTTTAAAAACATAACACCTTACATTATTGAAGCGTGATGATAATGTTGTTTGGATATTTTCCATTGTCGAAATAATTCCTTGAATGGGTGATTCATTTAAAACACGGTATTCGAAACAATTTGAGGTCGGTCAAAATTATATATAACATTATCAATTGTCGCCATATCTTTATGGTCTTGGTCTGTTTGGTATTGTAGATGTTTTGGAAACTTATTTATTAGTCATTTTAATTTTAAGAGATCTGCAAATAAAAATAATTAATTCATATTTTGTTCTTTAATCGTTGCTATTTTTCTATTCAAATATGCCCCCATATGCCAAATGCCTACTAACGATGGACTATATTACGTTGTGCACAATTAAATATTATGGTGCGAGAATTTGTGAACTTAATGCTACTACTAATAATAATTCATTTTTATATGATACATTCCATTAAAATCTAAATGCGCCATACAAAATAAAGGCAAAATAACAAATTGCTTGTCAAAAGTCTAAAATTATTAATTGAAAAATTATATTCATAATTATAATTTATTTCAAAATATTGAAGAATTAAGTGAATAATACTGTAGATCAGCTGTATCAATTACTATAAACCGATTTTAAAACGTCTTTCTAAAATGATTGAAGTCATTGGCAGTTTTTATATCAGTAGTAAAGTATTCCCTAACTCAGTTGAATATAATTTGTTAGCTTTTTTTACTAAAATTTAATGTTCCGAAAGTAAATTAAGAGAAGTGGTGTCTAGTTAAACGTCCCCGTTGGTGTGAAAATCTGTGTTTTTACCACTACGAGAGCTTTATAAAACATACATAAAACTTAATAGTCTGTGGCTAACAGCCAGCCAGTGTAGTGCTTTAGTGACAGGTGCTATGTCTTCCCTCCCTGTTTATGTCATACCCGCAACTCCAATTTTCAGGGTTTTAGTACAGGCAAAATAAATCTTAAGTAAATGCATTAAAATAAATCTAAACAAAGACATTAAGTTTGTGCTGGAATTTGGCCCATGGTGTGCCGCACTTTATTTTGAACAAAACCATGTGAATTTATCTAAAAGAACATAACTACAAATAACAGTACATGTACCAGTATTTCAACACAACAACAAACGATGGAGTATTGATTTGTGGGGTTGCAAAAGCCCCTATACATAGTTGTTCTTCACCACATTCACTTCTTAACGCTTGCTCTAAAATATAAGCGAATCTAAGGCTGTACAAATTACAGTGCTGAGTGTTACCGAAGTAAATAGGCTGTGTCTTCCCGACCGCCACTTTTGTTTATTTTATGGAACTAGCTCGCTCACCTGGCTGTCGAGTTTTGGATTTGTTTAACGCACATGGCGTTTTAATTGCTGTGAATAAACTATCCCTTCGTGCCAGGGGGTTATTACATGCATTTTGAATTATGACTCACTGCTCAAAAGGTCCAGTTTTATAGGAAGTCAAAATATATGCCTTATATCCATTTTGTTGGTTTAATCTATTTAAGAAAGCATTCAGTAGTCGTGGGTTGGCTTGTCAAGGAGATTTTTTTAAACATCTGAGCAAATTATTTCCTGTTCTTTCTGTTTAACATCAATATGAATCCCAGACGTGCAAACATTAGATATCATGAATATTATAAAACTAGAATATGGCTTAAGCGGCCTACCTTTTCTGTATTTTTAATTGACGGTTTGTAAATTGTTGCCCATTCGCACATATTCACATTGAGCGAAAGTATGCACAGTACCATAGCACTACAGGTCATTCACAACATAATACACATCATTATATACCGATTCATTATCCATTATAGTTCAATGCGCGTCTCCGTTTGCCTTGAATCAAATGCCTGACACGGCGAATAATGCCTCATCAAATTATTTATGATGAATAAATCTACAAAGATGGATGAACAAAGCGTAGCATGGGTGCACGAAACGGGAAAATCTACGTATGGAATGATATTGATTATCAAGAATAATGCAATAAGCAAATAAAGGCTATTATATAACTCTCTGGTCTGGCATTTTGTTGAACAGTGTGTGTACATAATAATAATAATAATAATAATAATAATAATAATAATAATAATAATAATAACAACAACAACAGTAATGACAAGTAAAACTATGATATTGACTGGTGAAACCGGTGTATCTTTATTCTATTTTCATTATTTTGTAAAGTTTAAATGTGATGAAATCTAAAAATTATTTTCTATAATTAAACAAAGCATGGTTTAGTAACATCGGAAATTTTCAATATCTGTAACTCATATTTCAATCTTACTTTTTTCTCCAGGGCAGATTTGAAATTAAAAATTTAAGTTTTGTCTTACCTCTAAATAAACTTTACAGGATGCGTTCCTGCGAATGGTGGAACTATTATACGAGCAGGAGAGCGCGATGATGCTCAAATTTATCGAAGAGAGCCGAGATGAAATGCACGAGACGGCCACCGAGATACAGGAAGATCAAGAAAGGTTACGCGCACAGTCGCGAGCAGGTCAGTATTTCATTCAAGGAGTCTTATAGACTAAGAATTATTATCTAATAGACCACAAAACTGAATAAACGTCGTGATTTTAAAAGACGTACCTATTTAAGGCCGCGTTCAGACTGGTTTAACAACACTAGTTTCAGTTTTAACTTCAGGAGGCAAATATTTTATAACACCCCTTCTCTTGCAATCTCACCCGCCGTTTATTAAACCGGCCACTTCAATCAGTGGTTATAGAAGTATTGCACAGGGTTCCAATCAAGCGCCTGCTTCTTAAAATAAAGAACCAAAGTACAACTGAACATATTTTCAAGCCTTGCTTTACAGCTGTAAAAGAAAAGAATTTGCCACCAAAAAATAAAAAAAATCATATTTTTTTATTAATTGTTCGCATGAAAGAATTTGATAAAAAAGATATTTTAATCATTTCAGCAACGGCAAGGGTGCAATCTTCGCATGATCGTAAAGCAGTAAAGTCCTACCTCAAGCAAAGAGATGGCCAAGTGGACATTTTGTCTAATCTGGACTCTTTCGATGACGGGTTTGACGAGTATCGCACAGGGAGCAGTGGGGGCTATAGGAGTGCCAGCAGCGGGTACCGGTCTGGCTCCAGAGGGCACAGAAGGACCCAAACCGAGGAGCCCCAATATTCTACTGAATACCAAAAACGCAAAGCAAAACAAGTCAATCTCACTTCATCTGGCGGTTTCTACGAGGTCGGCCCGCGGCGAAGTAAATCTCCCGCCCCTAATATACATTTGCCAGGTCGCGGTGGACAACAAGAGAAAAACAAACTTTTCACACCTCCCCCCAAGACGCCTAGCAGAGACATCTTGACAAGTGCTTCAAGTATCCATAGAGTGCCATCAGCTACAGATATAGAAAAAGTATGTTAAACATAAAACGGCCATAGAATTTTAATTGCCTCGGCATACACTCTTCTGGAAAGGATTAACAATTAGAAAACAAATAAATAAAAATGAATGAATTGATTAAAATAGATTTAGAAAATGAATTTTTAAATATAATAAAACGTTAATAACAGATTGCAATATATCCAACCTAGGCTTGGTAAAGAGGGATCTAATATGTTTTGTTATTTTCTCTTTCCAGGAGAAAGATGAATTGTTCCGTAGTCTCCTTGGTGCTGACGCAAAATTAGAATCTGAACGGGAGAGGCAGGCTTCTCTCGTCCAGAAGATAAAAGAGAAGAAAAAGGCAAAGAAAATTGAAAAAGCAGAGATAGTTAACGAATTGCTAGAGCAAGCATTGGTGCATCAAGAAAAGTGAGTTTCTCTTCTCCCCTTCTTTATTAGCTCTCTCTCTCTGTCTCTCTTTCTCTCTCTCTCTCTCTCTCTCTCTCACACACACACACACACACACACACGCCACGCGCGACGATGCAGATTTAAAAAGTAGAAATGAATTAACTAGTTGTATGAAAATTGCTTCCTGCAAAGGGATATAACAATAAAAAACTTTCTATTTTGCCACTTTATTTCAGACACAAGAAAGACCGTGAAAGTCAGGAAAATAAATTCAAAGAGAGACTTTTGGAGAAAAAGAAGCGACGGGAAAAGTCAGCGCTTGAAGATGACGAGGTGGAAGATGCAGAGACTGAAAAGCAAAGAAAGAAAGAGAAGAAAAAGTTGGAAAGATTGGATTCAGTTGAAGTCATAGACTTAGATCAGGATGAAACGAGAAAGAAAAAGAAAAACGATAAATCCGTAGCTATACCAGAGGAGGAGGAAGGAGAAAGGAAAAAGAAAAAGAACAAAAAAGTAGAAGCAAACGCGTGGGAAGAAGAGGAGGAAGATAAAAAGAGCAAAAAGAAAAAGGACAAGAGAGAAAACAATGAAAATGAAGAAATTAATGGAAAAGATGATAAAAAGAAAAAGGACAAGAAAATGGAAACAAACGCATGGGAAGATGATACTAAAAAGAGTAAAAAGAAACAAGACAAGAAAGTACAAGATGAAAACGAATACTTAAAAGAAAAAGAAAAAAAGAAAAAAGATAAAAACCAAGTGGATCCAATTGAAATAGACAGTGACACTGAATCAAAAGAGAAAAGGAAAAAAAGAAAAGAAAAAGAAAGACGAGAGGCAGAAGAAGCAGAAGAGCGACAAAAACAGAAAGAAAAGAATAAGAAAAAGGAAAAATACCAGGACGAGATAATAGACCTAGAGGACGACGAGGAAGATAGAAAGAAAGATAAGAAGAAAAGAACGAAACCAAAAGATGAAGAAATTATAGAAGTTGAGGATGAAGTTGTGGAAAAGGACAAGAAAAAGAAAAAGAAAGACAAAAACAAAAATGACGAGGTTATAATTGATATAGGGGATGAAGACACGGTAAAAGAAAAGAAGAAGAAAAAGAAAATATTAGGTTTTTAGGCTATTATCTAATTAAGGAATTCTAGGGTAAGCGGAGTAAACTTGGGTCGAATTATTGAAACGAGTAGATCACCCATCTGTTTCGGGTTGATATCTGTCCATAGCAACGCCGAAGTTTGTCTATCAAGGCGCATTGCATTGTGATTATATTCTTTTAGTACCTCTCTCAGAAAACTTCTTTTCTTCATATATAATTTTTTGAAGGTAAAGGAGAAGTAAACATTGGACCAAAGGAAATATCATTTCTTTACGAAACGTTCGCGAACGTACATGTAGGTGCATTTTTGATAATGTGTGCGCAGTGAGATTGGTAATGAGTACCAAGGTTTTTAGGTTTAGGTAGCCTTAAAAAGCCGTCCATTTGTATCTCTGTAAGATGATGATCACCAAACTGCCGTGCCTTACAAAATAAGAATTTAGCTATAATAGCATTAGTTTTTGTGGTAAACGCTGATCATTTAAAAAATTTCCCTAAATGTTTGTAAAGTAGCTATAGTTAAACTGGTGCTTTTCTAGTGGATCCGTCCAGCTTACATTAACATTGTAAAATATATAATGAACTGCCGATCGATTACATTTTAAGTCACACAGCAGCCATCCCAATATGTTTAACAGGTATTTTAAAATATACTTAAAGGTGATTTTTTTTCAATGAATGCATATTTAAAGGAGCGTGGCCGATAATTTCGCATTTTGAATTTTTGGTACAAAGTAGCGAGTCATGTTTTAGAAGATCAACGTTTTGAAGGTTTTAGACCAAAAAATAGCATGTTAAGTTTACCAAGGAAACCCTAGTTAGTGACATATTATCGTTTTTATTTATACACTCTTAATAGCTATATATCCTTGCAATAAGGACATTGAAAAATGAATGTTTCAGCATCCCCATGTAAGTTATCAGATACGTTGTATAGATGTCAAGTGACAGAAAAAAAAACGTGAAGAATATCTGTGATAATATTCTTTGTACTGATAAACAAAATTAACTGATTAAATATGTGTAAACTGTCACCTTTAATGTTGTATAACAGAAAGAAAATAAAACAAAATTATATCATACTTGTTAATAATAATTTTTATTTTTACAATTTGCAATAGTTTTCAAGGGTGTAAGTTGGTCACGTGTGAGTGCACGCGAGTGTGTTCGTGTTTTCGTACTAAATACACTGCGTTTGTTAAGAACCTGAATATACTACTACATTTCTTCAAACCAAAAAGACAGTCTTTCTCAAGATATTTTCTGATCATTAATAATTATTTTAATATTACACTTAAAAACTGGCTGTTTTATCTTGTTTTAAAAGTAAACGAAAAAAAGATTGACAAATAAGGGTAAAAAAAGCACCATCATAATCAACTTAATGTGTTGACATCAACTGCAAAAAGTTTAAGCATGTCATTTTCTAAAGGGTGCAAGTGTCCAGCTATCACTAAAGAATGAAGTGGTCCTCCAAAGTCCACTGTGGTCATTTGCTTTAGGGTCCCTGAGACTATTTGCTGTGTGTCTGACCCCACCCTGGCCACTCCAACACAAACTGTGTCCTCTGTCAATTCTGAAGAACAATTATAAATATTAATAGATACATATATTTCAACTTTAGTATAGAATTTCACAGGCACACACATATGCACATACCAGTACCTAATGTGTTTTCATTGAGATATTTGGAATTAAAAAAAAATAATATGAACATCATGGTTTTATGCATTTTAGGAAGCTGTTAATCTAAAACTCCATGATTGAATATAAAATGTTCCTTACACATTTTTGTTACATATAAAGTAAAGATTAAACATTTTCTTATCAAAAAAATCCCAATTATGTATAAATCAGGCAACTTAAGCACTCTTTCTCAGATAATATTCAAGATAATATATGAAAAATAAAATTCAGTTTGAAGCAACTTACCTAGTTCTTGGTCCCCCTCTTGTTTTTTCTTTTCAATAATTTCTAGAAGTTGTTCTGCTGCTTGATTAACTGTCATATACCTTGGTGGCTCAAAGATTTTTCTGCCCCTTAAATTAAAAAATCTGTTTAATGCATTTCTAAAAAGCAGTTGGGTGTCACTTCAATTTAACAGCTATGTGTAAAGCATTAAAAGATATAAAGAACTAGCCTTCTTTGTTGTGAATATACATTTTGTAACGAGGATAAGCGGTTAAATATTAATCTTTACCTCATCAAATTTTCAATAGACTGCTCCTTGACTTTAATATCTGAAAAACAAAATCAATAAAAATGTTTAAACTGTCTCTTGAAACCTTTCAAATACATATTTAATAAACATTTCTTAAAGGTACATACGAACCGAGCATCGGTGGAGGGTGGATTCCCAGTAACACATGTAAACCACTTCTACTAGATTCTTATATGACTCAAATAAATTCGACATGCCAAGGGATAAACTGAATAGATCACTCGATCAGCCATAAAAGACCTTTAGACTGCTCCTTTCTTTAAATTTATGGTTGTAAATTTAACCTACTTTTGTGACCTACTTTCCTGCCCCATTGACATACAGCTTAGAATGCCAGGAGAAAAATCAGTTCAAACATCATTTTCGGGTAAAATTAAACAATGCCTTTTGGTAATTCTCTTAGTTATACTACTTGAAACTATATGCTGGCATTTGGTTGATTTTTGTCACAAAAAATTGACTTTGTATGCATCTTTAACTATTACAGAAAAATTCATTAGTTGTCAAAAAACACAAAAGCCGTTAAAATTTTTATCACATGGTAAAAGAAAAAAAATCAACTTCAAATGTTATTTTTGATAAATAAAATGCATTAGTTTCAGTCATAAAATCCCATTTTAAGATTAAATGTCACATGTTTAAACACAATAATGAAAACAGCAAGTGGTCCATTTATAGGCATGTAAAATATGCATTCACAAAGCCTGTTATATAATATCATACCTAAGAGACAAAGAGTGTGCATGCCTCCTTTCTTATTGTTGGCAATCTTGTCATAAAAACTGTCTGGTCTCCAATCTTCTGTCCAGAAAACAATGGACACAGTTTCTCCAAAATTATAAAGCTGAAAAATAATTTCTGTAAGCTTACATAAAATTATCTTATGCATGTTTGAAATAACTTATAAAAGTAAAATCATGAATGATGATCAAGTAAGTAAAGTCATGAATTGTGTCAGCTGGGAGAGAAAAACATCTTTGGCCTGAGGAGAGGTGCAAACTTCAATATAATGGTACATGTTTTTTTGTACTTCACATACTGATTAAGAACAAACTCTGGCAACTGTGTGGTGTCTTCTGTAGGTAACAATACACATGCAACAATCATTTGTTTTTCAAAGTCATGACAAATTTAATCCATAGCATAATCATCTTGGTAGGTATATTGTCTATCCAAAAACATAATTTAACATTTTAAGTTGTTCTGCATATGTTGTTGCACAACATCTGTATTGGCTCTTTTGTAAATTTCTGTTCAAAATGTCCAACCCTTTTACAAATTGATTTCTCAAACAAGACTGTGCAAAGTACTGTACATGCAATGTATAGCAGTTGGTTGCAAAAGACCAAAATAACTGGATTGGCTTCTAAAAAAATCCACTTTCACCACTGTCCCCAAAATATGTATATGTAAATGTTTTTCTTACCTGTAGTCCACAGCATCCAATAGCATTCATTATGGAAGCATTGTGAATCACTCTATATGCTATCCCCTTTTCCTTTGCCCGGAGCACCAAGTCTGTGTGAGTGGTGGCACTGAAATGAAATAAATTTGCTGCCTTTATTAGAGAATACAGAAAACAAATGACATATATGTTACCTTTATATGTCTGTTTAGTATTTGCTTTCATAAAGTGGAGATAAAAAGAACCAAAACTCACCCAAATGGGTCCCCAACTACTAAAAAGGCTATATCTTCTGTCTCTGAATCTTTGAAAATTTCATCTGCAAAATGGTAACACTTTATACAATGTGTGAGCTCATTTTAAATTGATTAAAAATCTTTTAAGGACATTTCACTGTATTTTTCTTATTCTTGATATCCATTTTCACTACAAAACTTAGGCTTCATTCACATGCAATGTCTATTTTCTAAATTCTATTTTCTATTCGCGGTATGTCTTATGATCACGGTCTGTGCCCTGAATATCCCGCGGCGTAATTACTGGCAGCGCGAGCCAGTTACTATAAGTTACTATAAGTAACTGGCTCGCGCTGCCAGTAATTACGCGGCGGGATATTCAGGGCACAGACCGTGATCATAAGATAGCGCGAATAGAAAATAGATTTTTAGAAAATAGACATTCCATGTGAACGAAGCCTTATTTTCATTTCTATTCATTCCAATTTATTTTATAGCAATCATGGTGATGTGAAATTGCTTCTATCTGTAAATTGTACTCTTTTATATTTTGGAAAATTAAGAACTGAAAATGTTTTACTGAGGTGAAATGATGTTATGCCAATTATCAGTATGATGAAATGTCTGCCCTGACCTCTCAGCATTGTTTTGTTTTGTTGGTAGAAATTAAAAACCCGACAGTAGACCCACATAACTCATATCTGGGTGTGACTGAATTGCCCAATACACTGCAATACAGTGCAACACAGCGCAATACACTTGATAACACAAGTCCAGTTGCAAGTAAACACAGGAAAGGATAATTTCAAATAAAATAGGGTGATATAAAAGCAAAATATAGTACATAGTAATTATTATTGCTGATACAACTTGACAATTTTTTCATTGTTTGGTCAGCCGCCATGTTGGCGAGTAGCTCTTCTTGGCCAGTAATATATCCAAGAAGAACCACTCGCCAACATGGCTGCCAACCAGACAATATAAAGGTCTTGCTGATTTGTTAAGTTATATCAATGATATTACTTACCTAGTAATATAGGTTGTTTTTATATCGCCCTACTTTGCTGGGAATGGTCATTTCTTTTGTGTAATTGCTACTGGATTTGATTTTTGAAGTGTATTGCACTGTGTTGCCCTGTATTGCGCAATTCAGTCACACCGCTCATATCTCCCTTGCAACAAGCTTTCTTTCTTGTTACTTACCAGACTGTTGCTCAACCATCTCTCTATCAGCCAGTATAATCTCTCTTCCGTAAAATTTCTCCTATTTTCAGAAATAATATTTCCTTGATGTCATTATGGGTGTCATTATTGCTAACTTAGAGACAGACTATAGTTTAGCATCTGCTTCATTTAACTGTTTAACTACATACTGCCACATGCAAAATCACGTGAATGTTGGTATGTCGGTTTTGTGTTCCCGACATGTTTATCTTGAAATTTTAAAGGCATGAAGACTATGGAGGATAAAGAACAATGACAAATTTACATTTACATGTATGATTATGAGTAAATTAAGGCCGGTAAATTAATATCCACCTACCAATTCATTTTTTCCAATTGTCAGAATGGAAGTGTAGGCTTCAAGATAAACTCGACGTGCCTTTCGAACAATTTCCAAACCCTTTACAGTAATATCTTTTGCATCACCCAATCCTAACCCAACTAAATAAAACATATCGTTGCCAACGATCCTGTCTACGAGAACCACATGTATTCTTTTTTAAAAGGAGGTAAGTAATATATATAAGATCATAGAGCAAGTAAAAAGTTGTAAAATATTAAAAACCTTAATTTGAGATTTTTGTAATGTATTTCTATCTTAATAGCATAAAGATTATAAAAAAATAAATGAATCAATACAAAAACTGATAATAACTATTAATATTGATACAAAAGTTATATATTGTAATGTATAAAAAGCAGTTAATATTTCATGCAGATATTTTTGCGTGCGTTTTACATTATATCAACATTGTAGCAAGAGGCTCCCGAATATTCTTTATTTCCCAAGTAATTTGAAATGTGGAGCTTTGAAGGGGATTTTCGACGAAAGCCAGTACAGTCTTTAAGAGGGGCTAGTAAAAAGGTAACAGCAGAATTGTTTAAATATTTCTCACTTCGCAAATTTGTCACTGATCGCTAAACGCTCTTAAGGAAAAATGTAATGTCACTATGATTCATTATTAGCTCGTGACCCAATTTTGATTATATACACTTTTAGAAGAAACGAATGTCGAACCATCTGATGAACTATTTTGATGAAAATGTCGTTAGTTATGTCTTAAGTATCGAAATGGTAAAAGCTTGCTTTATATTTAAAAAAATGAGCCGGCAATCTTGCCTGGCTCGTTGGTCTAGGGGTATGATTCTCGCTTCGGGTGCGAGAGGTCCCGGGTTCAATTCCCGGACGAGCCCTCCGTTGGTATTTTTATTTTTTCGCCCTGTTACCTTATATTTTCTTTTTATAAATCGTTCTTGATTTGATATAAACAGTCAAGTGAAAAGTGGTGATTATCTCATGTTAAAGAAAATTAATACCAAATGCACAATAACTGAATTTTTTTTCTCCAGGAAGAAAAAGATACCTTGCTGCAAAGAGCCCAAGCAGAACGAGAGAAGAGAGAGGTATTAGTTTGTTTGTTGCTTACAAGTTTCATGTATCATTTTTTTAATGTGAAGCTAAAGCTTTTGTAAACATATATAAATATATATAAAACCAGTCATTGATAACTAGAACTTTCTTTGGATGTTGTCTTTACATTTTAAGACCTCAACTTTTTTCTGTTTGCTGTAATACTCTATGCTTCAAATATATGATTCTAAAATATTCTTTGAATGGTGTTTCAGGCTTTTAGACAACAAAATGCCAGTGTTACTAAAATATCAGCATTTTACAGATCTGCTTGTGTGAGAAGGAAATGGGTAAGAATAGAATTTAATAGGTCCCCAAAATTTTTATTTTATAATTTATAATATATAGAAGAAATTTTGAGATTGCACCAATCATTTGAAGAGGTTTTTATTATTTTTTGGAACTTATTTAATTGAGTCTTTTTGACTCTTTTTAAATATTAAGTTTTGCATTCAGTTTGAATATGATGTATTAAATGAAATTTGTATTTGAATTGATTTAACCTACTACTGAAATTGAATTTTTTTAAACTTTGAATATTATTCTTTAAAGAAATCAGATCTACGAGCTGCGTTTGATAGATATATTGGAGAGCTGAACAAGGTAAAACAATCCACAGCTAATGTGAACAGAGTTGCTGAGCTAATCAGGAGGTTGCTTTTCTTTTTTGAAGAAGATCAGGACAGTGATAGGCTGGTAAGAAACATATAACTGCTATAATAAGAAAAGAAAATCTAATATTTGATCTTCGTTTCAAAAAGAGATCAACAGGTTTCAACCTTCTTGAGGTGAACCAGTAAAGCTTGGCCACATCTCCTAAGGCCCAGTCACACAGTTTAAATTTTTTCATTATCTCAGTATAATATAACTGGATAATTCAAAATAGTCACTTTGATATCACTGATAAGTTTAATAGTATCACACAATTGATGAAAGGGTGATAAGAATTGTGAAAAAATACACCAAACAAACTTCTGTTAGTTTGTTATTAAAACAAAAGTCAATTTCAGGTGTTGTTTTGCATACATTCCTTTTTTAGCCAAAATTTGCATTTGCTTGTCGGGGTTAAAATTTAACACTTGCATTCAATTTCAGATTATATAAATACATTGTTTGATTCATTTTGAATTTCCAAGTACTATATTTATATATTTTTGTATCAGTTGGCAGTATGCCAGTTACTTGTGTACCATAAGGACCTGCTAATGCAGCTTTTGAACAGGGACTTACCTGTTGGATTGTACCAAGTGAAATCCCTTACATTACTTTGTGCCAGGTAAGATGGAAAGTAGTATTGATTTAACAGAGAGAATGATTATGACTCAGTTATTTGGTACTCTTGTACTCTTTTTCTTCTCTTTTTACATTATTAAGTAAGACAAAAAATATTTACACAAATGCCATCAGATCACTGTCTATTTTATCATTGACAGTCACCCATATTCTATTGTTGTTTTTTAATTTGACTATTTAGTTTCCACCTAGTTCAACTATTCAAACTGATATATATTCAAAAATAAAGCCATCTGCACAAGTAAATGGAATAAAAAAAGAACCAACAAATAGAAAAGTGACTGTTTAACCTCAACTAGTTTAAAATCATGTTGAGGGGAATGTATATATAATACTTTCATACTTGTATTTCAGGTACCTGTCCATTATATCATCAAAACAATTACCAATAGCAGTCCCTATGAGAATGTTGGAGGTTTTTACTTCATCAGACACATATAAAGGGATGAAAGATCCAACTACAGCTGTCTTGAGACCATTGTACATTGGAGTCATGAAAAAAGGTAAGAAATGAAAGTAATGACCAAACTTTCTTTTGATGATAAAGATTTGTGCTCACTGAAAAGATATAATTCAGTACCTAAATATCAGCGACTCTGAATCTAAAATCATGTGGTAATTGTTTTACAGGATATTTTGGGTACTTGAAAACTGTATTTGAGACTAGAGTCCCAGCTTGTTTTGAAGAAACTACCAAACCACCAACACCCCTGTCTGAAAGTTTGTATGAACTGTTAAAGAAACCACTGGAGCTTATAGCTGATAGAGAGGACAAAGAATTCAGGTAGGGTGCATGTTGTATTCCATTGTATTAAAATTGTAGGGTGCATGCTATATTTCAATTCTTTAAAACTGTAGTATATGTGCCGTTTCATTTTTTACTACATGTACCTTCTTCTTTGATGCACCAGAGAGAGCAGTGTGTTTTATCTTACTTACTTTAAATAATATATAAAGCTATAACATAGTATAAAGCTATACTGAGTGATATGAATGTGTATTTACATAATGTGGCTTTATATGCTTTATTTATATGGCTTTAGGGACATGGTAATCCACCACTTTTGCCAAGAGTTCTTCTGTTCTCAGCCCTCAGACCAAGTACGCTACTTCTTGCTCCCTGCCATGGCCTGTGGGCAGCAGTGGAATTTCCCCTTTGTAGAACTCCTCCATGCCCTGGCACCAGACCTAGAGAATATGAAAGCAAACATAGGAGTGGCTGATACAGAAGAAAGGTTCCAAGACTACAGGAAAGGCACCACTGCCTCACCATGGCTGCTCCATGCATTTTTAACTCTGTCAAAACCAAAACTTGGTAATTATTTGTAGCCCAGGATTGTAATTTTTTTCACTTTGCCTTTCAAAGAAGAAATTTTGCTCTACTCTTTTAAATATGTGATGGAATTTCTTTGTTTGAGGAGAAATACATGAAGTTCCTGTCCTTGATATAGTTCGCATTTATAGTCAGTAGGTTATTCTAAAATCCACATTCAATCCAATGCAAGGGGATTTCTTTTTCTTTCAAATCAGTACTTCAGAACAATTTGTATTGTAGATACGCTATCACCCAGAGACTTCCAGCACTACCTACAGGTGATGAAGAGACTCATTATCACTTTACCTGGGAAAAAATTAACAAGTGACTCTGGACAGGAGTCTGACTCTGATGATGAGGAAATGATGGACACTGTGGACTATGTAAGTGTAGGACACAAATTTTAATACCAGTCACTGGTTATTAAATACATACTGGGAAGTTTAAATTTAGAGAGGTAGAATAAGAAAATTAGCACCAATCATTCTACGGTTTCATTTAAACAGCTGTAAATTCATTTTTTGCAATTTAATGATATAACTGAAAATGTTATGTCATAAAATGGTTTTACAAAAAAAATCACACACATCTTATATGTCAAAAAACTGCTGAAGGTCTTGTTGCTGTAAAAGAGATGTAAATTTTTCATGTAATTGTTCTTAAGTTACAATTACATAGTGCAAGATGATGAAAAAATTAAAGAAGAAAATATTAAGCAAAAAAAAAAAATGCTGATCAGTTTGGATTGTGTGTTTCCAAGAAATTGTCTTGTTGTACTTAAGTAAATTCAAATTCAGTTTTTTCTTGTTGTTTTGCACAAATGCAGTAAAGCAGTAGATCTACAGGATATAACATATGGATTTGAAAATAGTTCAAAAAGTTGCAATGGGCAAAAAAGGCTAAATTGCTAAGCAGTTCTTATTATATATTTAGGAAACTGCTGAAGGTCTTGTAGCAGTAAAGGAGCAGTGTGTTCAGGTCATAGACTCCCCAAAGTTTGTGAACAGTGTTTTAATCAGCCTAAGCAGAGACCCATCTGAAACCACTTTGTCTGCTGTGTGCACACTTTGTCACACTCTGATGTCTAAATATGGATTAACAGTTCATAAAGTCAGGTAGGTCTTCTATGGATTAAGCATTTTGACTGGGTACTGTTGTTTTTTAATAAAGTGATAATTTTTTTTTTCAAAAATGTTTGTAGTTGCTGTGAATTTTATACTTCTTAAATTTTTCATAGTAATATTCTTTTATTTGAACAGATATATTATATCAATAACATTGAATTTCCATCATTCTCATATTTTTTTTAAATTATCATTTTTGCTCCTTAGGTTACTATATTCACTGTCCCTAAACAAACTGTTCCTGAAGAATCTGTGGTATTTGTGTGTGTCTGTATGTGCTCCAACAGTAACAGGGTAAGAATAACCGAAAACGGGAACATGAACAAATTAATATGAAAAAATGATGAAAATTTATTAATAATTAAATATAATGTTTGGTTTTGATTAATTTTGTTTCAGTCAACAGCAAGTTGACATTGAAAGTCTTTAGCTGTGAGTTTTAACAGGGGACAAGCTGTTTTTTTCTGTAGTTAACTAAATATTTTTAATTGATATTTTTATTGATATTATCATTTTGTATAATGTAGGTCTAGCACATCCCTGCTGCAGTTATTATCCAGAGGACTTCAGATGCATCAAAATCTTGTAGACCAGATTGTACCCTTGCTGTCCTCATTCTGTACTTTGTTCAACCATAATATTATTACTTTACATGATGCCGAGTTTTTTGGTGATGAAGGTAAGTTTGATAGTACAAAAAATGTTACTAACTTTTCATTTGATGTGCTCTCTATAATGATATTGGTAATTATTATGAAAAGATGGCTGTATGAAAAGTAGGATGATTTACTGACTCCTTAAATGATATTTTCTGATTACAGACTCCTTTGTCACAAGATTTTCATAGAGATAAGAAATTAGTCTGTTCAATGTACAGGATGCCCTAAGATGCTTTCGTATTAATCAAAATGGCACTGGATAATAATATTAAATATGATTATTTATTTATTTATTACCATTCTTTTGCTTCTCAGGTGAACAGTCCTCTCATATGCCCTTCAGTGTGGCTGAGCTGGTCTTGATGAGCGCTGCTCTGCGTGATGCTTGTCTGGGTATCATTGAGATTGCCCATCCAGAATCCAAGCGCAGTCTTCAACAGGAATATGTGTCTGCTCTGAAGAGTGTTGGGGTGAAGCAAAAAATCACATCCAAGGAAGAACTGGAGGAAAAAAAGCAGACATGGGCTTTTTTATTTCAGGTTGTGATGAGTATGCCTTATATATGACTGTTCTTTTCTTGTTGATTAAATTTTGTTTAAGATGATTATGATATTGATGTTATAAGAAATGGCAAATTTTGATTATCAATTTTAAAGAGGTTTATTTTCAAGGTCTAATACTGAACAGTAAACTTCTTTGTTAGAAGAGTGTGTAGCTTCATAGAGTTAAAGTTCATGTGAAAACATTCTTATGCAGTCGGGTAAATTGCTTATTTTTATTTGATGATGTTTAATTATTAATATTCAGAGAATGGCACAGTTGGTGAAACAGCTGTATTTGAGAAATGCAAGGCGTCCTTTCTGCCCCAGGAATCATTGGTTGTCAAATCAAGTAAACATACTTGCAGATAAGGTAAGGGTTTAGTAATCTTATTGCTACACCTAAAAAGCTCAATGATATTTTGAGTTTAAGATACAGAGAAGGTGTTAGAAAATGAAAATCATGATAATTTAGATAATTTCATTTAGAATATTAAAATACTACTGATCCATAATTACACTTTATTTTATCAGATTATTCATATATTCTGTTTTGTTTTAAATGGATTCATAAAATGTTTTCTTTCTGGTGTTTGAGGTAATTTTCATCTTATTATTATTCCTTATTATTTCTTATAATATTTTTAGCCATCTCAAATATTTAAAGCAGGTCGCTTTACTCGACAAGAATTTGGTGCAGGCTTGGAGGCTGAGGTAGGGAACAAATTATAATAGTAATCAGAGCAACAAAATGCATGTAGAATTTATTATTTATTTATTTATTATTTATTGATTCAATACAAACTATAAAAGTTTTTAATGAAGTCAATCCACTTCTTGATATAAGATGTACCAAATTTTTTTTAATTTTAAATTTTCGATATTTTTCATAATTTGTTGTGCCATATCTTTGAAAAATTTGATGGTATTTTAATTTTATCTGCTATCATTTTGTAGAGTTTGAAAGACTATATGGGTGAGTAAATCTATACACATTTAATTTTACTGAATCTTAGGTTTTAATTATCAGAATCATAGTTATAATTACCAACTTATGAAGTTTATTGTATATTTTGTATATAGCATTGTGATATTTTGTCTGTGCCTTATTTATTTCATTTTAATCCAAAACCTTGATTCATGGAAAACTAATTTTTATTACCTCTTCATTTCAGATGAAGATGGACCTCCATTGTCCACCACTGAAATCAGACAGTTGACTGTGTTAACAGAAATCCCTTTTGTAGTGCCATTTCAGGAAAGAGTGAAGGTAGGCAGGATTGATTATGCAGGGTCGCTATCACGATGATTAAAATTAGATGGCGTAATTTTTAATTAAACAGTCTTTTAATGATTTAAATTAAACAATAGAAAAAATTTATAAACCATCATTTAAATGATACCCCCCAACAAGTTTTATAAGATTTATTTTTAATTTGTTATAAAAAATTCCAGATATTTAGTAAGCTGATACTCCAAGACAAAAAAGAGAACCAGGGGGAGCCCCACTTTTTTGGTGGTCCACACATACAGGTGCTGATTAGGAGGAACTACATCTATGAAGATGCCTTTGAAAAACTGTCACCAGATAATGGTAAGCAATTATTATAACAAAAATCTATTTAGAAAGTCTCAACCCATAGAGCTGAGTGTCACATGTTTGTAGTAAAAGGATTATACATGCATAAATGTTAAAGACAAAATAAGTGTAAGATTTGTTAATCGAAACTGTTTTATAAATCACCTTAAAAGAATAAATAAATATGTTATATATTAACTTTTGGAAGTAGTTATTGTGAAGTGATGAAAAGATATTTTAAAGACAATATTTAAGATGTACTGTCTTTTATGTTCATGCTAAACTTTATTAAATATTATGCATTATATTACATATATTATTTTTCCCTTTCAGAGCCCAATTTGAAGCTAAGAATGCAGGTGCAATTAGTGAATGCAGTTGGACTGGATGAAGCTGGGATAGATGGGGGAGGGATTTTTCGGGAATTCCTGTCAGAGTTGCTCAAGACGGGGTTTGACCCCAACAGAGGTTTCTTTAAATACACGTCAGACAAACTGCTCTACCCCAACCCTCAGGCCAAGGTGCTGGTAGAGTCATTCACCAACCACTTCTACTTTCTAGGCAGAATGCTGGGAAAGGTGGGTTCGTTAAAAAAAAAGGATCGCTTCTGAACTAAAAAAAAATGAAAATAAGCCCTATTATGACTTGTCACTGTAATAGATTTTTAAGAATGATTATTATAAAGTGAATGCTATACTATTGATTGAGTTGTCTTGTTTTGCTTTATTTTTGTCTATGAGGTACACCAGTTCTTCCAATTTACACGATGTTAAAACTGTTTTCAGGCCTTATATTCCAACCTATTGATAGAGCTTCCATTTGCCAGTTTCTTCTTGTCTAAAGTGCTCAGTAGACAAGCAGGCAATGTAGATATTCATCATTTAGCATCTCTGGATCCAGAAATGTACAAGTGAGTATTTTTTTTACAGTATTCTTACCTGTATATGTTTGTGGCGAATACTTTGTGGTTTCCTGTTGTTCACATTTCTACAAAGTTTCTGTTAACATATCCAGTAAGTACAATTCTTTTTGTTTCAGAAATCTTTTATTTCTCAAAAATTACAAGGGTGATCTTTCTGACTTGGGCTTAGATTTTACTGTGGCAAACAGTGAACTAGGAGAAGTTTCAGTAAGTATTGTCTGACTGCAGAATTTATGTTTCCCGTGGTGTTAAGTACGTAACTAAGTAAAAAGGCCCAAAAATAATGAAATCATTATGAATCTGAAAAAAATGATTTTGTATTGAAATAATAAAAAAAAAATGTTGGAAATGTTAGCGAGAAGTGTGCATCTTTATGATTCCATACAAATTTATTTGATTGAATGCAAAGGAAGTGAATAATTGATTAAAAATAATTTGTTCTTGTCAAGGTGGAGGAGTTGAAGCCAGGAGGTAGAAACATCCCTGTAACAAGTAGTAACAGAATAGAATACATTCATCTCATGGCAGATTACAGACTTAACAGACAGGTAAGTTTTCTCTTACTAGATGCATGTTTAAGTATGTATAAGGAATATGATGCATGATCATAGCTGTATATGTATCGCCCCCAAGAAATAATAAAATGAAATAAAAATAAAATGAAATGGAAAAATTTCATAATTTTCAGTTTATCATGAAGGTAGAGCTTATTGTATCCAAAACAGTTGAGAAAAATTTAATTGGAAATTCAGTAATGAGCCAGTAAATATTAATTTTGTCAACAGTTTACATATGGTGTACCTTGGAGATTTTACTACAGAAAATTGTTGAAATTTTCAAGATAATTGATTTTTTAAATTATTGTTTTTCTTTTTATCAAGAGCTTATAAAATATGTAGGTTTTACCTCCAATATTTCTGTGACTGTCAGTCACCATCATCAGGGAGTAAATGAATAGGGTCATTTCACCTGGAATGAAAATCCAGGTCAATTGCACCTACATATTTTATAAGCTCTTGATAAAAAGAAAAACAATAATTTAAATTGATACATACAGAGCTAATGAAACTCTTCTCTCAATTGATTTTTTGCTATGTTAAAATAGGCTGCTCACTGCGTGCCTTGAGTATTGTATTCTTTATTGTCTTATTTGTCATTTATAAGTTCATCCTTGATTGATCTCAATACAGATCCGAGCTCATACACATGCTTTTCGAAGTGGTCTAGCAGATGTGATCAACCTGGAGTGGCTGCGTATGTTTGACTACAATGAACTCCAGGTCTTGATTTCTGGTGCTCCAGTGCCAATTGATATAGAGGACTTGAAACAGCATACAAATTATTCAGGTAAATGTTATTGTGATAGCCTAAGTATAACATCCTGCTCATCTAACATGTTGTTGCAAATGGAAATAGAATGATATTTATTAGTTTTACATATGCTCACTGGAGACTTACCACAATTAATCTTTATCCCTTTTATCAACTTTTGCTTACATTTGCCTGCATTATGATTTATCTCATATTTGTTTTTATAGGTGGTTACACTGCAGACCACCCTGTGATCAACACTTTTTGGAAAGTAGCAGAGAGCCTCAATGATGTGGAGAGAAGACAGTTACTGAAGTTTGTCACTAGTTGCTCTAGACCTCCACTTCTAGGATTCAAGGTGAGTTAAGTTACTTTTTTCATAACAAGAAAAACATATTATGTTGTGGACAATTATGTTATTGTCATTTTACATTTAACCCCCCCCCCACTCTTGTGTGAGGGAGCTATGAATATGGCTCCAGTCCATGCATCTATCAGTTTGTCTGTAGAGCTACATGTATATTCATACTTATCTTTGCCTGTACAGACACTAAAAATTGTTAATCCAAACTCGAAAAAAGGCACAAATTGGTGAATATAAAAACTTATGCTTAGACCATTGGATGGGTTTGTGAAAAGGTTACTTTGACTTACTTTTAGATTCTTAAAATTTTTAGCATAAGGTATTTCACATGCCCCTGTGGTAACCTTGTGTTACTTTGAATAGCATTATACCATGTAAGTATTTTATCAAGGGAACTAAACTATTGTTTTAACTATTTTAGGATCTTTACCCAGCATTTTGCATTCATTATGGTGGTCATGAACTGGAACGTTTGCCTACTGCCAGCACATGTATGAACTTGCTCAAATTGCCAGAATTCAAGGATGAAGAAACTATGAGGAACAAACTGCTTTATGCCATAGAGTCTGGAACCGGTTTTGAATTAAGCTAGTGCTGGAATGCTAGTGTCAACTTTAGCTGGCTCTAATCACCCAGGCACAGGAAGGCAGGCTACAAGAATGAAGACACATCAAAAGTCAAGAATGTCATAGACCCATAATTGTCTCATACAAAAGATGCTCTTATTGTTATCTATGTATTTATATTTGTCATTGTGCTTCTTAATAAGACCCATTTATATTATATTATTTTTCAGTTCATTCCCAGGATATAAAGATATGCTGTGTCATATAATGAGAGCCTGAAAGAAAGTTTTAAAAAATTTATTTTAATTTTTTTATTTATTTTTTTGTTATAGAAAGTCAAATTATAAATCAAATCAGCTGATCTTTTCATTAATTTTTTTTACAAATAGCTTGGTAAAAACATGCCATTTAACTTGGTAGATTTGGATATTTGATACTATATTCTTTTTAAACAAGTAGATGAAAACTTTTTTTTGTCGATTTATCATATTCTTGATGTTACATAAACATATCCAATTTTTTACTGGCATATATTCAGACTAGGAACTACACATAATGGTTTATGCATCAAAAAATAAAGTTTCTAAATCATATACATGGTTGGCGCATTAAGGGTATTAAGTAATAGTCAGTTAACTTGGACAAGAGAAATAAAAAAATGTTTTTCCTAGTAAAGTATGTTGTCGCGATTGTTTCAAATTCCATCCCGAGTTATCTTATTACATTTGGTATCTGTGATTCTGCCTGTTACTTTTTTGTGGGATTGAAGAAATAATGCTTGTTTCAGACAACAAATAAATAAGTAAACTTTCTTACAAATTAAGTGATTTTAATGTTCTTATCAGTTTTGATCTAGAATTATTTTCAGGAAAAGTATTGTAAACTGAATTATTATTTGGTATCATAATTTTTTTGTGTGTCGTAAAATCAAAGTCACAAGAATGATAAAATCAGTTGCCTTTTATCAGCATAAAGAAAAGAACAAAATCCCCTTGGAAAGGGTCCATTTCTAATTTAATGTGTGTCAGAGTAATGGCATGGGCTGAAACCTTTTCATTATAGTGGCCTCTTTAGCATTGAGATTCAAATATGCTGCCATTAATTGACACATGATGCCTGTTGTTTTTCATACGGTTAAAATGAAGTGTCAAAAGTCAAGTGCATGACAATAAAACATTATTTAAAAGGGCTTATGTTTCTTCAGCGGGGAGAAATGGATGTGACAACTGTACCATGTCACCGAATAGTCCAATTAGCACAGGGAGTAGATTCATGTCTCAGTCATCTATTTTTAAGAATGGTGTAAAAGTCCCTCTGGTGTGCAGTGTATTCCACACAAAACATGAGTGAAAAATGTGAGATAAGGCGGTGGCTGACTAAGGTTCGTATTTGCCATAGTAAACATTGCATTGAAATTTCCCCTGATGATATTACAGAAAAAAAGTTTGTTAGCCTTTTGGTCTATTTATTTTCATTGTTATTGTGTCCTATTGTGGAAAAGATTTTCATAATATGCATCACAAATTTCTTCAGTATCACAGAAATGAAGATAATGGAAATTTCGTAGAATTCACAATATGATAATACTATTTTGAGTCAGGATCGAGAAGATAAACTAGACTTATCAGAATGCAAGTTGCATGTTGTTTTGTTAAATCATTATAAAGATTCCTGTGGCAGCTTCCGGGATATATATCTATTTTTATGATGCTGGTACTTGTACTATGCAAGGGTACTGCATCGGCCCACACTCCCACTATGATTTTTCATTAGTATTTCATTTAAATGTGAAAATCTATGTTGTAAACATGTCCTCTTCTACTAAATATATAATGGCACATAATAAAAATAGGCTATATGGTGATATTACTTCAGTGATAAAAGTGGAGTGCGTATATAATGTTCAGCTATAAAATGTCACCAAAATGTTCAACAGCATGAATCCTTTACAAATCATAAATGGGATTGGATGTTCTGATGAACATTTATCTTAAAGGCAGTGTCTGGTACCATTTTATCTGAATTGATACCAAGGGTCCTATTATTTATAGCTATAGAAAATGATTTTTTAACCCATTTGAGGACAAAAAAAGTTTTTAAAAATGATCCCTCCTCCTGAAAAGAAATTGCATGTTGTATTGTTATCAGATATATGCATTCCCCTCCAAGCTAAGAGGTCGGTGTTTTGTGTGAATGCATGGCACAATGGAGGGGTAACATATGTACTCTCCAATTTAACTCCAATCTTTTTAAAGAAGAATCATAATTGCAAATTAACTCCTGTCCTGGAGTTGTGCCAAAACAGATTTTTAAATTAAGGGGTGAAGGATATAGCCATGGAAATCCTTAATGACACGGTAAACAATTTGGTCCATAACTTGTTGTCTTCTTGCCAAGTGGATAAAACAGGAAATGTGATCCAGTGCATTTTGTTAAAAAAAAAAATTCAACAAACTAGTATCTACGTGCTAGTGGTAACGTGTATACAGGAATTCAAGGTCACACAAGTAGAGCGATGATATTTTTGCACAAGAAAAATTCCCATTTCTTTGTGAGTGTAAGAGACACTTAAGAACAATAAGATAATACTATGAGGATTGTTCACATCAGGTTTGATCTAAACCCAAATATACAAGTAGTTAGCAGAGTCCAGTTTCTGGGACCAATTTTAACCTGGTGTAAATGGTCCTACAAATTGAGTTATAAAAAATGCATGAGAGATTCATGGATATAATAATCATAAAGCTGTTAAATTTCCTCTTTGTTGTGAATATATGTTATAATATCTGAAATGGTGTACTGAATAGTTTTAACACAATATCTGCTTTTTAAAATTGTTTTTATTCAGCGTATTTACACACTGCAATAATCAAACATATCTGTAACAGTGACATTCACACACAATTTAAATTTACATATAAAAAGAGTGTGGTTTCCCTGTAAGCATTTTAACCATTTCTACAATTTCTTATATCACTTGGAGTCAACATGCAAATTGCAAGGGATAAACCAAATTATTCTCTCGATCAACCACATTAAAACTGCACCTTCTTTAAATTTTTGGTCATTATTGCTCAACTCATCTGCCTTGGCTATATAAAGCATAGGAGGTAAGCAGTAAATATCCATTCAAGTATCATTTTGAAAACTACATCCTTTGGTATGAAACTACATCCTTTGGTATTCCTTTAAGTTATATTATTGAAACTGAATGGTGGGAATTGATCAGATTAAGTGACAAAATTTTGACTTCAAAATGCATCTTAAGCTGCTGAGCATAAACATAATATGCCAACTGCAAAACATAAAATACATTTCAACATAATAACAATCATGAATAAAATTACAATGAATTATCACACTTACATTTACTAGTACTTCATAGCCACAAGTGTTCTTTTTTTTTATTTATTCTTAGAAAATATAGTTTTCATTTGATTATCAGTTTGTAACAGAGTCATAACTTGGGTAATGTACATTGGGTATTCAATGTTCCTCTCATTGAATTTTACACTATATCAGGGTTTCAGACAGCAGGTATCTCCATGGAATATGAAATGATAAAAATAATAAAGAAAATGGGAAAAATATAATCATAGTAGCTTGGGTGCAATTTCCTAACCCCTTGCTACCAATCACCTTGCTCTGCGACAGAAAAAGACCTCGATACATTAAAAAATGTAAAGTGGCCACTCATTCTATTTAATTCCTCTTTTTCTCTAAAAAAATGAAACTTATAAAATAAAACAAAATGCAAAAAATGCATGTAAAAATCTTGCCAAAAGCACATATTTATTTCATTTCAATTGCCCGTCTTGCTAACTTAAGACCAGAGTCCAGACATTTCCACATATTTGATATATCAGTTTTGAAAATATTCAATCATAAGAAATACCCATATCTATTCTTTTTGAAAGTCATTATACTTACAAAATAATGATTGAAAGATAAACAATGCATTAATTCATATAAAAACCGTAAGATTAAACATAGTCATTAGTAAAAAAAAAAGCAATCTAGGTCCTTATAATAACCACCACCAATGCAATAATTGCAACACACAAAAAAAAAGAAAAAGTGAAAATGTTTATACTCACTAATACTCTACTGATCTTCACCAATTGATAAAGTATATGACTTGACAAAGAGTTTTTGCAAGGCAACTAATAAATTGCACAATCTTCTGCAATACTTTAACAGTGAAGAATAACAAGTGTTAATAATGAGCAACTGAAATGTTTGACTGAAATGTAGAATTTGAGAGGTCAAAACTGGTTTGTTCGTAAGCTCAAAGATATCTCTTTGGTTAGCCCAACAAAAACATGCCACAGTGTGCAACAGTCATGGTATCTAATAACAGGGATGCAGCACAGCAGACACTTGGTTAACAGGTTCCAAAGAACTGCCCTTTTGGATGGAAAAGGTCTGATCTGTATCAAAATTTGCCCTCAAGTTGGGTGAACTGGTGGGTTAAAAAGTCTATGTTTTCAGAAACCCTCCACCCCCATTTGAAATTGGTGGTTTGGCACTGTAGCCTGTGTAGGCCTTTAAAGTTCAAAGGTGTATATGGAATTAAGTTTGAAAGTACTACAAGTTATATAATTTAGTTCACTCTGACTCTGATTCAACACAACATTGTTCTTATCTTTAATAGTTTGTTGCTCAAGTTTTGACACTCAGTGTTGGCCTATATATGTGACAGTTGAGATACAAAGCCAATCTTTATAGTCTTGAATCTTAAAAAAATGCCAGACAACCTGGATTTGAATCTTGACAGTGACATTTAAATGGTGAAAATAATACAAAAAACAAACAAACAAACAAACAAAATTGCATTGATATTGCATTGCAAAGGAAAGCCCTTATATACTGTAGCAGCGGAGCGTCGACACTGACAAGCATTTGATGTATACAAGTACTATACACAAATGATTTGATTTTAATTCTTATGACTAACATACCAAGTATGAGTACTGGAATATGAACAAATGCAGGCATTTTGTATAAGTATTCAGAATTCACCTTTCAACAAGTAACATATTATTACTTTCAGCTTCTCTTAAGACAAGACATACTTGTATGGGTAACTGCATTATGCAGTGGTATTATGCACATAACATGAAGCACAATATTTCAACATTCCTTTTAAAAAGAAGCATAACAATGGTGCTAGTCATTATTATAATTTTGCAGCTTAGTGGAATTTGTGTGGACCATATTTACAACCTTGTGGTCTCCTTTTCTGCAACTGATCGCAGCAAATCCAATATTTAAAACCCATACAACCAGCAACAACTAGAGCCTCCACAACCTCACCAGGAAGCAAACGACTCCACATGGGAAAATCTACGGGTGGAAACTCATGATACTCACACAGTAAATGTCCTGCATTTTGTTCTTCAGCTATGAAAAACTGGTGACAGCGGGAACACTCTTTAACTGGGGCTTCCTGGCTAATTGGCCTGGCTCTGAAACGGCTGACTTTGCACATTTCCATTTGCTCAACTTGCTGCTCATTCATGCCACTGAGCCGACCCACTGACTGATATATTTCTGCCTCCCTTTCCAAAATGACAAGTTTTTGTTTCAACTTGATGTTCTCTTTCTCCATGTTCTCACATTTTTGTTTCCAGTGGTCAATAAGAATCTCCATGTTTTTGTCAGAGTTCAGTTTCAGATAGGCATTTTCAGTGATCAACCTATCAATTTCTTTTTGGGCTCTTTTGTTTGCTTCCAACAGTTCTTGTGATATGCACACCTTGTTTGCTGTTGCTTCTTTTTTCAATAAAGCATTTTCAGCCTTCAACTGTTCCTTCTCTATTGTTAATTTTTCCAATTCCTTTTTTACAACCAAGTATTCTTCTGATAATTTGAATTCACCTTTCCTCTTTGTCTGTTCAAAGCTAGCACTCTGTCCCACCTCTGATGGATGAAGGGCTACAGTACAACATGCTGTCTTGACTTTCTTCAAATCTTCATACAAACCATCACATTCCTTCTTCACTCGTTTTAATTCTTGTTCATGTTTGCAAGAATAAAGGTCACACATGCTGTGCACAAACAGTCTACATACAAATATATTCTTTAGATTAGCTAGGTCAAAGACGTCACTGCTGGCTTGTCAAACTTTGTTTTTATGCAATGTCCTTTCAATTCTCTTAGGCCTATTCTGAAAAAAATTTAAAAAAAAACATGGAAATTGTAAACAAAATACAGACCTTAATTAATACCAGTTCTTTAATGCTTCATAAAATATATGGTCAGTAATACAATAACTAGAAACCAGTCGTTAAACGTTGCCCTCTTCAATAGAAGCAAAATAAATCCTGACATAGAGCTGTACAATGTATTTTCCAAATCTATTTTAAGGCCTTGAATGAAAACAAAACTTACACAATATACATGTACGAAGTTGACAGGTCCTGTAAATAAACAGTACCAAAAGAACTTACAGCGTTCGTGCTCAAGACAACAAGTGTCACTCTGCTTGAATATGAAGCTGTAAGTTATGTCATATAAATCACATATTTATACTTAATCCGATCGCGGTGCCACAGGTGATCCCACGAGTGAGGCCGTTTGTTTACTTCCTGGTTGTGTGTCTCGTTCTCATTGTAAAGGTCAAGGTAACGGCAAGGAAAGAGCCGAGTATAAAATAGTCATACCTGCCTTGATTTAGTCGCCTCGCCTTGTATTTATACATGGATAAATTTATTAGAAAAACCCCACGAGAACCTAGGTCGGAAAAAATCCCTAGGCCAAAGAAAAAGAGCTTAAAGCAGTCCACAATTGAATCATTACAGGTAAACTGTTCATGTACATTTGTACAGCTTGGACATAATAAATTAATGTTTGTCCAAGTGCACAGTGATTAACTTATTTTAAGTCGGCAGTTATAGTTCTTTTTCTCTTTAAGATAACATAAACTCCCATTCAGAAACACACTACATGCTTATTATATTTAAAGTGACTATCACCTTCTTATAAATTTTATTTTAACAAAGTAAAACTGTCACTTACTGTACGTGAACTGGGTAGGCAGCCATGTTGCAATCATTCATTCAGGTCATTCGGCTTTAAAAAGGCCTGAGATATAGCCCTGAAACGCCTTCTGACAGATTTCTTTTCGAGTATGGGTGCTGGCCAGTGAGTAGTAGAGTTTTATTGAGAAAATGGGGAACATTGGTGAATTTATTTTTTCCATTCTAATTCTTGTTTTTATTGCCATGTAAGAAGTTGGCACACACACACACATAAAAAACTTGCATTAGATAAAAGATTTGATTAAAATTCAAAATCATTGAATATATACTTGTGTATTGTTTGGTGCATTGTCAAATCTGGGGCAAATTAGACATGCATATGTGCTGGGTGCTCTCTACCAAAGTACCAATATCATGCAAGGTTCCAGTATACTGGATGATAGATATTTTGTAGACATTAATTTTACATACATAAATCAGTATGAATGAAATGATATTTTTCAACTCCAAATCCTCTTTCATTTGACTTAGGGTGTGGTGGTAGTAGAGGATGTATTTTACAGCAAGTCTGTTTTAGAATTAGAGGACCAAAGCAAAGAAAAGATACTTGAGACAATGAGCAATTTGGAGGAAAAGATCCCCTCTAGGCAAGTTATGGTAGACACACAGATAGGTAAGTAAATTCCTTTGTACACTTTTATTAAAATCAGAATGGTAGTAGGAACTCCATAGGGATGACATATTGGAAATGTTCAGAATTGTAACTGCTGTTTTTTTTTTATTCATCTTTGACTGTTTATGAAGCACAGTAAACTGAGGAAATTATTAAATGCATTTTATATTGCCATAAAAAGATCAAAAGTAATTTTAAACTTTTTTGAAAAAGAATCAATTTGACAGAATTTTGCAAACAAGTTGACGGATGTAACAGTTACATATGGCTTGTTTTAGGTCACACAATCAACAAGATGAGAAAACACGAGGACAAAGACATAGCATTAGCTGCCAAAAAGGTGTACTTTAAGTGGAAAACTTTCTTCAAGGAGAAAAGAGACAAGCCAAAGATTGAAGTTAGATCTGACCTGAAAACTGAGAAAATGCGGGAGGCAGGAAGAAAATTTATCAAAGAAGCTCTGGGAAAGGTTGAAATTTCATTCATTTTCTCAAAGTTGAGATTTTAAGCATTTAATTACCTTTATTTGTGACAGGAATTTATTAAAAACAATCCTTTTTTAACATCAAATTTGACAGAGAGATCTGTAATTTTAAAACACATGGTTACAGAAACTTCCTTCAAAATCATGTTTTTTTTGGATTTATAGTATGTAATCCAACCATATTATTAGAACACTGGTACATATGAAAAAAAAAGAAAATGTTAAGCAGGGAAGTGGAAGGCAGAAAGGCAGGAAGAAATGATGGAGGAAACGTTGTTTTGCCTCAGGAGAAAATCTACATATAGTTCTTGGAAACAATTTGTTTTTCATTAATGAATAATGAAGGCACTGTTAGTAAATTTCTAAATATTAAAATAATAAGAATATTACAATTTGTATCCATTAAAAACATGACATGACAAATTTTTGGTGCACTGAATTTTCAACTTGACATTTTTTTTTGCTCAGTTTTGTCATCTTATACTTTCAGCATCACAAAGGTTTAGCAGAAAACATTGAAGTAGAAACTTTCCAGTGCTATAAGAGATTGATAAGTGCAGAATACAAGAAAACCATCAGAAAAATCATATTTACTCTCAGACACCAAGAAGAAGTAAAAAGGAAAACTGTTGCTGGTGAAATGAAAGTAAATGACTTGATAAAGTTATGCTCAAAGGCTTGACTGAAATTAAGATGCTTAACTCTTCTTGGGTGCAAATCAGTATTGTTTGATCTCATGTAATGGAACAGTAAGAGAGTTTTCAGTTGCATCATCAGTTAACCATTTTAATATGGAGTTTTATAATGATGTTATATTATTTTATGAGAATTTTATGCAATAAATTATATTTGTATAGTTTTATATATATGGCTCAGGCTTCGGCTCTATTTGCTGTTTGTGTGGTTTAGAAGATGCCCGATGTTGTGCTTTCTCAATGTTTTCATGTTCTTTTCAGATATTCCTTTCACATATGGGATTTTGACCTGCCCTTTGTTTTTTTTTCTGCATTTTCATCTTGTTTCTGTCAGCGGGTTAACCTAATGCTTGGATCTATCATTAACGAGAACTAAAATTTCTAAACTTTTTTTAACAAATACAAAAAGTGGTCTCTTCATTAGTCAGGTTTGTTAGCTTGTTGGAGAATATAATTTTTTGCTAAACATTGACTGAGACTTCAAATGCGAGTTGTTAGAATATTTCTGGTTGGCCACTTATTTCTCAATACCTTGTTGATCACTTGTGTGTGTGTGTGTGTGTGTGTGGGGGGGGGGGGAGATGGCTATACCAAACAACAAGGAAATATTACATGAAAAATTGTCATTTTAGAAACAGCATTTATTTAACTGACCCGTACATCAAATAGTATAGAAACAGCATTTATTTAACTGACCCGTACATCAAATAGTACAGCTGACAAATGCTGTTGTTTCTCTAGGCTACAAAAAGAGCTACATGGATAAAAATAAAGATGCTCAGCTGTAGGCTATAGCAATTTGCTCTAAGTACAATAAGTTGAACACTTATCAATAAGACTAGGTTTCAATAAATTAACATAAGAGTTGTAATAAGCCACAACACTTTCAGTCTTTAATATCTCCACTTGATCTCATCATATTGATTGTGCAGCACATGAAAAGCTGCTGTGAAGTATAAACATAAAAGATGAAATCAATATGCCTGTAAATGCTTATGATGTTCAACAAAAGATCTATATTAACATATGCATATTGTGGCTAGCATACACAAAGGGGTATCAATTAGAAAGGAATGGTATGTTTGATCTGATGAATCTAAATTGTAATTCAAGAACCAATTGCAAAATTTGTGGTTCTTGCCTTTGTAACAAATAATGGTTTGCCATGGAACAAATTAATGTACTTTTTTTTAACAGAACTTGAACATAACAGGAGGATGGGCAATACCATCAATAAATCAATGAACAATTCCAAGCTTTTACAACTGTACTCTAACAACCCATAATATCAATCCCATGAAATATGACAGAATCTGATATACTACATCCATTTTCTTGTGCAATTCTACATCCATTCTGATTACAATACCAAATATCTGTCAACATTGGTGTTCTTGTGTTTACATATTAATTCTAAAATTAATAAATATTTTTACAAACACATAATACTGCTTGTGCACAAACAACAATGGGTACATCAGTGAGAGTGCAACTCGAGATATTCAATGAGAGTGACATCAGGAGGAGAAAAGGAGTCCAGTGGGTTTTCCACTTGAGTATGCCTGGCGTTTTCATGATCAAAACCTGAAAATAATTTTTTATACACAATTAAATCTATCTAAAAATAAATTTTATTTGCACATTAAAAACTATGTCATGAATCACTGAACTGCATATGAATAGTGAAAATGAAAAGCAGTGGCTATATTAAATTTTATCATTATGGTTTGGGGGAGGGGAGTGGGAAAGAAAATGAATAAGGGGAATGACTAGAAGACAATGGATATCTCATGTCCATGTGAATTTACAAAATTGAAAAAGAAAAATTATTAAGCCAGTAGATACAAATTTCAGAAATGATAAAGAATATTTTTCCCTGTTCAACCCAAATACATACTTTTTGAGGACAGACTGAGATACTGGCAAACTGCATGTAGCAACAACCTCTCAAAGGGATTTGCTATCTTTGAAATATAAACAGAATTTTGCCATTCTTTGAAGAAATCTGTTACTTCCTCCTCTATTGCAGATAGGATGCCCTGGAAAAACGTTGGTATAATTCAAGACAAGTTCTAACCCTGCAATGATGCATGGGATTAATTTTAGCCAAGTCCATATCCTTCAGTAATTTTCCTTGAAGCTTGAACCCTCTCGCACATACAAGAAATTATAGTGTTCTGCACAAATGACTAAGGCAAACAGTTTACAGTAGGTCATTAAGGCTAAAACATTTACTCTTTAAATCAAATGAAATCACTTAATTTACCTTTGGAAGTTGTCTTTTACACAATAATCCTCTAAGATTGCTGTCAATTTTCTTGAAACACTCCTCTGCTGTGAAAGCAGGATGGACTGTAAAAATATTAAATACAATTCAATAACTTTAATGATAAACCTATGAACCTTCAATAAAGAATATATTGTTTAAACTTTGTAAGTTTAATAAAAAATATCCAAATTATGTAACAAGAAAGTTCAGCACTAAATGTGTAAAATGTGAACAATCATATCATATCAAGAAATAATTTACCTGTTCTCTTGTCATCAGCTCCCAATCCTCCTAGACCAGAAAGGGCATTATCTTTTTCATCAGCATCCAAAAAGACTGCATCAGTCACTTCCTCCTCAGAGTATTGTTGACCTTGTAAAAACTGCTGCTGTTCCTCTTCTGAATGGTTTATAAAGTCATTCCATGCCTGAAAATACAGAAACAGTTTCATATTACAGCAGTTAAATATTCAGCCTCAATTAACTGCAAGCTTTGTAAAAACCATGCACTTTTACAACAGTTACTATTCTAAATAAAGACTTCATCACAATTTTTCAAGCTAAAACTTTGGAATTTGCAAGTATAACTATTTAAGTCATTTGTAAGAAATGTATTCATAGTAAGATGTATACCAGATAACACAAGTTACCCTCATTTTTTCCTCTTCAGAGAGAATTTCCCCAAATGCAGACATCGTTGGCTCCAAATAGTCATGGATGTCAAGCTCACCAAACTCTTCCTTACTGTCAACAAGACTCAGCAAAAAGTTGACTGAAATAGCCAAATATTTAATTGCCTTAAATTCAAGACCAGTTATAATTAATTGGATATACTTGCAAATTTCAACTGTTTCACAAAATGTGGTACTGAAAGGCAACAGTATCTTCTGAAAATACAATACTAAAATATACCCATGTCATTTTAATATATTAATTTAACTTGGCTAGTTTTGCAATTAATTCAATGCATTTAATGCATTAATTCAATACCTTGGATTTTCTATTCACTTTTGACAGAATGTTCTGACAACCAGCCACTGCAAGGCAGATCCAGGATTTTTCTAAGGGGGTGGGGGGTTGGGGGAGGGATAATTTTGCTTCACTTTGCTAGGCAAATATAAAACAGTCCATGAGGACAATTTCAATACAATATGTATGGCACTGGGATGAAAAAATGGTTTGTTCTTTCTTATTCTGTTATACTGTTCCTGAGAGGAAGAATAGTACACCATATAGATCTTATGGAGGGGGCTTGTGTGAGCTATATGTCCTCCCTGGAACCGCCATAGTTAGAAGATGTCATGTCAAACTCAGAACCAGAGAAGAAGGAAAATTAACTAACAATTATCCATTCTTCTGCCAGTCTTAGTGCCCTTAACTTTCCTTCCTGAATTTTTGGTCCAGTCCATGGGTTTAGGAGATTTGGGAGGTCTGTGCTTAAACTTCCTAGGTGACTGGGGGGCTGGGGGTGTTGGCTCTTCTTCACTGCTTTCATCAATAGCAATGATCCTGTTGAAAATTAAAAGCAACAAGAAATGTTAAGAATCAAAAGCACAAGTGTTTAGTGTGGGAGAAAATATACATCTAAGCTTTATGCATAATTCTTGGTAATTAATTGTTTTGTATGGATGAAAAATCCATCTAAACTTTAAGCATAATTCCTGGCAATTAATTAAAAAATTAACTAATGTCACTCCACCTCTCAGACTTCAAACAGAGCTAACGTTGTGACCATTATCTCACATTTCTTAAAACCTGCAGATCCATCTATCAATTTAACCAATTTCAGCTCTATCAATAATAGTTAACTCAGGACAACTTACAGATCTACACTTTTACCAGTAATAAATACATATGTCAAAAACAAGTGGTGTTAAACTTGAGGTGAGATTTAAGAGCATCGTTCATATTATGCATTATGAATCTATGAAAGAAGACTAACTGTTACCAAAATATTATGCCAATTCATAAGATATTATTTTCAATTTTGCTAGACTATAAAGCCATATTTCAGAGCTTGCATCCCAGGGGCAATGCTGACCTGGTCATTCAACCTATCCAGATTCAACCTAGTACAGTGGTATTGCTAAATGTAAACATTGCGACTTACGACGATCTGTTTCACTTACTGCATTTGATCATCGTTCGTGGTGTTTCCATACAGCTTCTTTGTCTCGTCGATAACACCCATGATGAATGTCTCCAACAATTCTCGGTCACTATGGTCAGATTATACAATAAAATACTTGTGGGATTCACTGCTGTCACAACTGGCTGCAATAACCTAGCTAGTAGGTCGTTGACAACTACCCGCCTTTTTTTGCTATAAAAAATTAATTTTTAAATGTCAAACAGACCAAATATGACATAACATGAATTATACAAATATTATATAATTGTTTTGCAAAAGCAACTGGAATAACATTATTGCTGTGGTTAAATTATGTGTATTAGCAGTCTTGAACACTCACGAAGAGGGAAGAACATCGATTGATTAACTCACTGGGTCACGTGATTGGTAGAGACACGAAACTTGTAAGATTTGGATATTCCGCTAGATGGCACCCTGGTCTGGATTTTAAACTCTGTGCTCCAAAAGTAATATTAGTGAGTGCAATATATACCTGTACTAACTACAAAAACAACCATATCTGATATCCAACGGCTTTTATAAAACTGACAACAAATTGAACAGTCTACCTAATGTCAATTAATAGACTATTCAATTGTGATTGAAATAATATGGGCGCGAAATTCAATCCAGCCGAATGACTCTTGATCCATTGCCCACAGGCCATTAAACCTGAATGCAAGTTTGAAGAGGCCATCTATTTGACTCTACCCGCAGAGAACTGCCATGTGGGACATCTGACAAAAGGGGTTGTAAGTTTTTTTTTTCTTTTCTAGGGGAAAATTTTGTTGAGAATTTCATTTAACAAAATAGTTGGATGATTTCATATGAAAGATAATATGTGCAGTGTAATAAAATGTTAGTTTTCTGTCATGTTTGTAGATGATTTTAAAAAATATTATAGTTTATCCTTAATTATATGTAATTGAAATAAACTCCTCTTTTTAGGAGAAGCACTTTGGTAAAACACTTGTACAGGCCGGGAGACCCCCCCAAAAAAGAGCCCATAAAATTTTATTAAATACTACACAGGTCCACCAAATTTCAGGAAATTTGATGGACTTAGGCTTCATTCACATGCAATGTCTATTTTCTAAATTCTATTTTCTATTCGCGGTATGTCTTATGATCACGGTCTGTGCCCTGAATATCCCGCGGCGTAATTACTGGCAGCGCGAGCCAGTTACTATAAGTTACTATAAGTAACTGGCTCGCGCTACCAGTAATTACGCGCCGGGATATTCAGGGTACAGACCGTGATCATAAGATAGCGCGAATAGAAAATAGAATTTAGAAAATATAGAAATATAGAAATATCACATTGCATGTGAACGAAGCCTTAAACTTCAATATGTGCATGATCATTCCGTAAAGTTTCAGATATCTTGGTCACTTTCCATAAAAGTTCTTTTTAAAAATGTGCTCCAAATGGCCTCAGCAGGATTGTCATTTTCTCAAACACATTAATTCCTCCTTCAGAATTTTCCTGATTTTTGCTGTGATTGCTGCCCTCAGTTTACCAGTTGTTTGAGGGTTTTTCTGGTACACTTTATCCTTAGATACTCCCACAGAAAAAAATCTGGGAGGGGTTTCAAGTTGGGTGAAAGACCTGCCCACTCAACATCATACTTCCTGCTGATCAGTCTCTTTTAAAATTGCTATGTGGCAGTGCTGAGAAAGCTTTGGACATCACTGGGATGATTCAGAGGGATAGGTCAAGATGGACAGTGGTTCTAGCAAGACAGGGTCATCCCCACACATGAAATGACTCCCTAGCCTGAATGAGAGAGCGTTCTCAGGAGTAGCTGATCAGCAGAAAGTGTGACATTGAGTGGGCACTGTATTCACCAGACTTGAACCTCCCCTGATTTTTATCTGTAGGGGTATCTCAAAGACAATTTGTACCAGAACAACCCTCAAATGATTGGTTAACTGTGGGGAGCAATCAGAGCAAAAATCTGGAAAACTTCAAAGGAGCAATGTGTTTGAGAAATTGACTATTTTTTTCGTGATGAATGCAAGTGTGCATCCAATGCCTCAGAGGCCATTTGGAGCATATTTTTTAAAAGAGCATAACTTTTAGGAAAAGTGACCAAGATAACTGAAACTTTGGGGAATGATCATACACATATTGAAGTTTAAAGTCCAGCAAATTTCTTGAAATTCAATGGACGTTTGTAGGGTTTATTAAAATTTTAAGGGTTCTCCCTTTTTTGGGGGGTCAGCCTGTAATAAAGATTTGTCTACAGGTATCACTTACTTGCATGGATGAAAAAAGTTGCCAATAGTGGAATTCCAATTCACTTGGTCAAACTAAAATATTTCTGCAATATTTTGGGAGAAAAAAGAGTTACGAAAGTAAATGAAAAATGTTTTTAGTCCACTGGGGCTACATGTGCCTTTTCAACATTTTAACCTAACAGACAAAGCAATTACTATAGACAAGTGTATATAATTTGCCTCTGACAATAAATAAGGTTTGTTGTCAATATTTAAATGTTTGATTTCAACTTTTTCCATATTTCTGTAGCTAAATATTAATTTTTATAACTAGGTTTGCAATGCCCCTATTTTTCAATTGTGTGAAGACCAATGTCAGCTTCACAATGGTAGCATCCTTGGTAGAAACAGGAAATGAGGAATCCATCATGAAGGCACTGGCCATAATCAAGCAATTCAGCCCAGTGGGATCCTGAACATACAGTATGATGGTGGATTACAGCATGACTGAAATAAATGTAGTAGAGGCCTCTTTCCTAGGTTTGTGCTGTTTTTGGGCACTGTGTCTTGATATACTGCTTGATTCACTGCACCAAATAGACTCTCTTCAAGTGTATAAGGAAACATTGGCATGGCTTTGGAAAGCCAAAGGAGCAATTCCATGTGAGCATGGATTGCTGAGAAAGGTAAAGTCTCCTTGTAAACAAAAACAGCCAATAAATACTCAGCATAAGAAGACGCTAATAAGTTTTATTTTTCTTTTTATATATGAGATAAATATAACATGCTTTATGTTTTAGGTAATTGACAGTTATCTGGACATTGTGATTAGCAGCAGTGGTACATGTAAGAAGGTAATCTCTTAAGCCCCCTTTACACTGGACGGCGTCCTTTCTGCGTCCAGCAGTACAGCCCCTTTTGAGAGTTAAAAAATTATAATACTTTACGGCAGACAACTGGTCGATCATTGAGCATTCATTCTGTTACAAAATCGATGCTTGTGCCTCCTTATTAAGACCACAGCGATGCCAAATTTCATGGTCGCAGAAAGGACGCCGTCCAGTGTAAAGGGGGTATAACGAGATAATTACAAAGGGTGTCCATCTAGGTCACAGTTTGATGGCAAACACAGATTCCAGAATAATTGCGATAAATGCCATTTTGGTGGTAAAATAGAATTTATTATAAGTCTGTGATTGTTTTCAAAGTATTTATTGTGAAACATGAATCTCATACGAAGAGTCATTATCTCTTTAGGCTCTTAATGTTACATTGTGTACCTTAACTGTACTATGTATAATATCAGTCTTTCAAAAACATATATTCTTGTTCATGATGGCATGCTCACATTATTACAAGACTTAGTATATCATAACATAATGTATGATAAATTAATACATATTATAAATTTTAAAGCTGTCAAGATGTCCCAAGATCTTTAAGGGAAAAGTAATTCTTTGGTCACATTAGGTACAAACATCATCATTTAAATTATTCTTTTTACAGGTGTTCCATGTGAGCCTTCATGTATTGTCCAGGATTGTGTATGATGGAGACATGGCTTATTTTTTTAAAGGTAAACCATATTCACTTTGAATAGTTAGCTGAATATGCTTTAAAGAGAGAACTTTCAATTATTTTTAGCCATTATATATACATGTACATATATTTCATTTCACATTTATACAATTTTTTTCTTTTTATTATGTCTTAAAGGTAATCGCACTGTCTCTTGTCAATTTGTGGTCGCTTTTATAAATTAAACTTCAAATAATATGATGAAAACATTGAATTTTATTTTAACCCCATTTAAATATACTGGCACTTTTAAAATGCATTAATATATGTATATAATAGTTTTAAAAAAAGTTGCCTTCCATATTTTTGTTAAAAAAGACCGTCATCATTCTCAATGCTTCGGTTTCTTTTTTTTTTTTTTTTAAATTTTAATAGAAATGTAGGTATGGTGGCATTCAGTTAGCAATTGTTTCCTGTCCCAGTTGCTATGAATAGATTAATTTGAGTTAAATTTTACTTGCTTCTATTTTTAATTTTTTTTCTTTGTTTGTGATATAAAAAAGACCTCCGAGAATATGATGTCATCGTGGGAGTTTGCATTAGACAAGCATACCACTCTGTCTTGGTAAGTATTCAACCCTTATGTAGGACTCTCTTAGATTTAAATTTCAGTCTGTTTATCTCTCCAATAACAGTAACTCAGCTAATAGATGTGCTTGACATTGTTTTAGGCAATAACAAATCTCTATCATTTCTAATTATCCTGTTTTTTTTTTTTTAAATGCTACATTTAGTGTAATGAAATAATTTAAAGACATAATTTGAAGAATTTTAGTATTCTGTATTTGATCTGATATTTGCTTAATTCTCCACACCATGCAACACCAATTTAATTGCTACATTTTGTGGAACTTTGAAGATCTGTTGTAATGACTGGGGCTTATTTTTTCATTTGTGTCTATAGTATTGTGGAATAAAGGATGGCAAATACACCTTTGTCGATTCTCTTGGAGAGACTGATCAAGAAAAGAATATTATCACAAGAAACTGGATATATTAAAACAGTCTCATTGCGTCAAAAATGTCGTGAAAATGTCATGTTGCATCACATTAATAATGTTTATAGTGCACAGTGCAGACAATTGAATATTATGAGTGGGTTGAGAAGTATAATTTTTGTTGTAATGTATATTTTCAGTAACTTCTCTAGAAGAAAACCTGGTGCCAGTTTGTCACCATTGACCATGATAAACAACAAGATAACTACACTTGTGGGCTAAGGTTTATACACACGAGTTGTTACAGAGGCGGATCCAGAGATATTTTCTGGCAGGCTTCCAAATTATCTTTGTTAATCCATCCTCCATCCTCCTTCTGACAGAAAAAATTAGAAACCTGTCAATGTAAGATTGAAAATCTGAACGTCTTCTGGAGACCCAGAAGACTGCCCCAATCTGCCCCTGTGTTACCTTGGAAGCACACATTTTAATATAAACCCTAAACTGGCCATGGTACACTTCTGAAGAGTCCCCAAGCAAAACATTTGTTGGGCAATAAAAATAATTTATTTCATCACATAGCTCCCCAGCAAGAGTTGAGCACTATTCAATATGACCAGATGATGTATATATACACTGAGGAAAAATGTAAATACCCCATGTGAATTTATTAAAACATGTAATGGGCTATGGACAGTAACCTTTATCTAAGGACAGCACGGACAGTAATCTGTGACACATTGAACAACTAAATTAAGTTTGTATGATTTATTATAGACATATGTATATATACATTAAAGTATTGTGTGGGGCATTTTTTTTCTTAGTATATAAATAAATATTTTGTTATTAAGTAAAATAACAAAATAATCATGATTTTTGGATAGGGTGTAAAAAATACTATAATGGAAAAATGCCTTGACTCCAAGAATAAGGTGAAAAGTTCTATCATAGGACTGGCAATAGTTTTCTAAACATTAATAATGTAACAACATAAGACAGGCTTATGATTGTTTAACTTTTATGTTATAATACTTTTATAAAAAGTCTCTTTGAAAAGTCTTTTTGTATTACTTTTCTGTTCAAATCACGTTATTTTAAAAAGTTTTTGTTCTATGTAGTGTTATGAATTAATTAAACAGTTCAAAATTACTAATCTTTTTGTTTTAACCACAATTATTATTTTACAACTTTCCAGGGGAGGTGTAGATGATCACAGGCAGATCAAGTCCTCTGAAGAATCCATCTATCAGTCAGCTTGATAATTTTTTCATTCATACCTGGCAGTCTGCAGATTCCAGATACTCAAGATATTTCATCAGGACATTGATCTGCCTGAGCCTGTTTAATTATCGTGCCCTCCTACCACAGAAAATTATTTACTAGACTTTAGCTCAAAGCTGGGTCACTGTAAATCACTGTGCCCCTGGTTTTAGGTTGGCTCATTAATTATTTTGCAAATTGCAGAAACATTGGTTCATTATTGAGCCAAGGTGAATGCATTGTTGGTTTGAGGTTGGGTAACTGTTGTAAAATTTAAAGGTAATTGTTGGGCCATTGTTGGGAATAAGTTGGCCCAATGTACCCCAGTAGGGACAATGTTGTTTGGTTGGGAATAAGTTGGCAATGTGTTAGTATTGAAATTGACTAACAGTAGGCCAGGGCTCCGTATCTCGAAAGGTTAGCTATGTTGCGTATGTGCACAAGTGTCTCGATTCCATAACCGATTCTATTTTGAGATACGTGCTAAAGTGTCTTGATTCCATGGCCCCAGATCTCAAAATAGAATTGGTTATGGAATCGAGACACTTGCACAACGTAGCGAACCTTTCGAGATACGGAGCCCAGGGTTGCCCAAAGATGTTCAGCCAACTGTGAGCACTTACACGTAGACGGAAATCCAACATTGGGCGTACGTTATCATGGTCAACAAAGACAATGGATGCTGGACAGCTTTATAGTATTGTAAATTTAAAAAGTTCAAAATTGCTATGGATGTGGGGCAATTTTGTATTGCTTGAATTTTTCTGAAGGTAAAATACTGTGTTATAAAAAAAAAACAAAATGTTAATAAAAACACATTCTTTGAAAGAAGGAAAAAAAGTATTAAAACAAGTCCCCATGCCAATACCATATTGAATTTTATACTATTGCAAGGTATTGATTCTGCAATATATTTGTGTATATTTTGACTAAACAGCTTGTTTTTCCATCCTGTGGCACATGCAAATAATGTAGTCCAAAAATGTATTACCAGTATAAAATGTTACCGCATTTTCAGGAGTAATCGAGGCTTGCTATAAACATGTAATACAACACAAATCTGACATAGTAACATACATGTAATATACATTTTATACAATAGTGTCAATACCATATATAAAATTGCATTTTATACAATTGGATGTTTTTGTTTATTACCATTATTAACTGTTTCCACTTTAGGGAGAAGTGATAAATCATTACAATCTTTAAATGTCTCCTCTTTCGGAAGAAGTGATTATTAAATCAGCCATCTGCATTTTTGCTAATTGCTTTAGGACTCTATTTGTAATAATGACACGTCCATTTCCTCTACTAGTTATTATTTTTTCCAACCTTCTGAAAATAATTAAGCCAGTATATTTGCCAACGATGACACATACCGGTACCTATAATGGCTTTACACTCTGGGCTATAGACATGCCCTTTAATGTACACATACATGTAGTGATCCCTTGAATTACGATCAAAGGGTTGAGTCTTGTGGACCAATCAATTAACTTCCTAATCCAGAGGCAACACCATCAATTATTCTTAAGCAGGCCAGTAGCTAACAATTTTCAAGGGGGGGGGGGGGGTCTTTTTCCGAAAAGCAAACCTTTTACCATGAAACCTTTGTGTGTGTGTGTGTAGATCAAATTTTACCCAGGATGGACCTTTTCTGGGCAAAAAGGGCAGATTGTTCGAACTCCCTGGCTACTGGTATTTTTTAATGACCTTAAGAGGCTAGCTAGTGCCTACGAACTCCTCAGGAACTTGTGCTGAATGCTTCTTATGACTTTTGTTTAAAAATTTTACTTCTTTAAAACATGTAGGTGGTAACAATTTGATTTCTACCTAATGGACCCCCTAAACAAACAAGTTGTCTAGTGGGTCCTAGGTGTAGGTGACTTATTGTGGTTAAACTGCTATTACGTAGTAGTCAGCTAAATGACCTTTTAACAGTCAATCTGAGCTGATCCCTTTGGGCCAAAACTTTTTATTTTTTTATTTATTTATTTTTTGTTTGGGCGTGCGTGTGTGTGTTAAAAGGGGTCCAGGGCTAAATACAGAGTAAGTTCTGATTGGAACTTGACTTATTAGATGTCTAGTTCAGACATTGATGTTTATATATTTTATTTTAAAGTGAATTGTACTAATGGTATTTGCCCCTCAATATTAAGAGATATATTGATATATTAAATTTGTTTTTGAAATCTTAGGTTTTGTTGTAGGATATATTAAACATGTTATAACCTCATTACAAGCGTGGCAGAAGAATAAAAATATCAATGATGGCATGCAATAAATGTGCTTGAAGCAATGGTGCATGAAGTCTCTTTAGGGGGTTTTTAGAGCATATCACAATAGATGCTTTCATGGAAAAAAATGGCATAAAGAAGTATCAATATAACCTGACAGCACATATGCAATACTTCCTTATTGTGTCCAAACTACAAAAGAGTCACCTTGATGTAGTGTCCACAAGACAGGTCAGATGTAATACCAGAACAAGCCTGGCAGGTCAGATGTTTTACTACTACAAGGCTGATAGGCATTGTTTTCAGGTAATAAGTATTAGGTAATGAGTTTTTTTGTTTGTGTCACAATACATTAGCTTCTGTTCTCATCAGTTATAAATGAAACGGTGTTTGGCCTAAATTCATGAAGCAGCCACAATAGGTTGCAACACCTGTATGTAACATTGCTATTCAATGAAACAAGTGTAAATGTTAATAACTGTGATGTGCTATATTTCATTTTTTTTTTTGTGTGTGTGTAAAACCAGTATACTAGGGATATGTATGAAAACTTTACATGTTAATTGTATTCTGCCCAGTAATTAATGTTTTAGCAATTGAAAATAATACTTTTGTGAGGCCAATTAAGCTACATTGCTACTTCATGTAACACAAATTTTTATTTGTCATGAAGGTCAAAAGGCCTGAAAACTGAAGAGCAGATTTTATCTTATCAGATATCTTGTCCTTGTTCACAATACTTATTAACACCTTAATGCAGGAACACTATATGAGGTACATGTCCATATAGTGCTCCTGTATTCCTCCTTTGAGGGGTGTGTTGAACTTTGAGATTGTGATTGTTCGAAGATGAGATTGATAATTAATTTTATTCATTGGAGAAGAGGTCAGCTGATATAACATTTATGGAATATGCTTTAGACATATTGGACACAGTTTCCAACAGTCTCAGTTTGTAATCTTGATATTTTAATATTCTAAAAGTGATAGTGTGATTTGTGAAGGTGCTTCCCTAAATCAAGGTAGGCCAGCCTTTATAATGATTTATGACTTTTTTACTCTGTAATCGAACAAACTGTGTCTTTTAAACAATACCGGATTTTGTTGAGTATTTTTCAAGCCTAAGGCAATGTTAGGTCATCTCTATACTGAAAACTGTCTGCATACTGGAGCCAGCTAACTGACTTGGCTTATTGATATTGGTGTCACATCAAGACAATGTTAAACATATCAGGTCATTGTGAGATGACACTATAAAACTGATACTATGCATGAAAGGAAAAAATATGGAACATGTGACAAAGTTTAATGGTGTTCACCTATAGCGTGGGATGGCACATAGAACAATAATCCTTCAAGCAGACTTGAAACTCGACTTGTGACCTTTATTTTTCATATCAGAAAAAGATATGCAGCATAAAGGCACCCTAAATATATGGACGTACTCCACATAGCTGCAAGCTTTAAACTCAGTAGTGGGTTAAGCTATCTCCAAGTCTAAAACTTGAGAAGCGATAAGCAATCTCTGCAGTGCAAAGAATATAAAATGAACAGTATGGTATGTTTGACCTGCACTAGACAAGGGCAAAGACCTGACACATTTATAGGTATATACATTGTACCACATGGCATCCATTTTTCTTTTCTTTCCTTTCTTTCTTTTTCTTTTTTAGTAATTAATAGGCATTAAATAAAAACTAACATCAAAGCTGAGGAAAAAGGACACACAAGTGAACATGCATTTGTAGGTTTAATTACAAATAAGGTAAGTTTTTTTGCTGTTTATGTTTATCACAGTTTTTTTTACTAGATATGTATATAACTATTATAGGCTTGTATTTTGATAGCATAGAACCAATTTTCTTTGGCCAATTATTACTTTCTTGGTATATAAATTGAAGAGAAACTTTTTTTAGTTTTAGTTTTAAAGACATGGGGACAAACCATTTTTAAATATGTAGCAAGTTGGTTTTCAAACTTTAACAATTCATGTTTGATAAATTGTTCAGACAGCTTGCCATATAGCAACTTGCATGTATTTAGTTTTGGTACTTGTCCACATTGAAAAAGAAATGAAAAAATTGTTTCTAATATTTTGTTTGCGCTGAGCAGAAAACCAATCTCTTTTAATCTGAAGAAAATAAGTATTTATTAAATGTCACTTCAAATAGAATTTGTAATTGTATAAAAGGATACAAAAAATGTAGTGTTATAAAAAACTTACGGCTAAATATAAATATAAACTATATTTGTTTATATGATGCATTTCAGTGCTTTAAAAACTTTGGAACTTGAGGTGAGCATGAAATGGAAAAGATGACAATATTGCGTGCAGCTCTTCTGATAATAATCAGATTGGCAGTTCAGGTCTTCAATTTGGAAGCAAAAAATGGTAAGTGAATATGAAAATTGAATCATTATCAGCACAAATTTTTAGAATTGATGTACGAGCAGGAATAATTAACCCAAAAGAAAATTACAGGTGACCATAAAAAAGGAATAACCTTTATTTTGTAATGTGTAAATAATGAACTCGTCAACTTTCTGAACTGTGGATGTAACACTGCATTTACTGTAGCTTATAGATTGAAAAAAAGAAGCATGAAAACTATGACGCCCCTTCGATAGTTTTTATCCAATTGGATTTTTTTCCATTCCATATTTGGGAATTTATCTAATGGATACATGTAGAAATTGTACTTTAATTGAGAAAGTGGTTGTTTTTGAGTCAAATAGTTAAAAAAAAAGAGAACTGTAACTAATGATAATAATTAAGTAGCAAAAGACGAATGCACACACAGCAAAGAAACCACATATAATATATGTGTAATGCACTGATAGAATATCTAATTGACTACTAATATATACATGTACCTGTGTATCAAAATTAAATTTCAATACAAATTGATTATCCTCTTTTATATTCATTTATATTATCTTATGATTTTTTATTTTTGCATTGACCCATATGCTTCATGTTTGCAGTTACTAACCAGCATGAAGCCTGTCTGACTGATCAGTGCTTAAGAGATAATATTTGTTTATTTAACTGTAATGGTAGGTCTGTATTAAGGTGATGGGTGCTGATACAGCATGCTTTGCTTACCATTTTAAGATTGTGCAATATCAAGATATCATCAAAGAGTAGCCTTTATTAAACAAATATTTTTCATTACAATTGTAAATGCAATTTTATCAGATCGAAGCAGTTGGACTTTAACTTCCACAATTAAAGTGCCTGTATACTATCAAGAAGTTAAGAGAACAAGTTATTGCTGTCACAACTAAAATAAATTGTCCTGAAATTTAAACCTGTATGTTGGTTATCTTACATATGGGTCCATTGTCTCCATATCAGCAGAAAGTTGTTGAATTTTCCGAATTTTGTCTGGCTTTAGTTGTCATCTTTTCTTTCAAACTATCATTACATGTGTCTGGTCTCCTAATATTGTATAAACTGATGATAAATCAAATCAATATGGATGTGATCTGAAGTGCATGTTTTATCAAAAATTTGTCTGAATTTCTATGGTTCTTTTCTTGTGTCTATGTTTGAAAAAGAAAATAATGTCAATATTATGTCACATACTGCATACTTTGGTGTAGTATTTCTTTTCATCTATTAATTTTTTATCAGGTGGAGGAATGCAGCTTTTTAGTGTTGGGGTAGAAAGTGCTTATATTTTTTACTATTCGTTTGTAAGCTTTATATTTTTCTTCAAATGTTCTTCGAATCCCTAGCTGTAGTCATAGGTTCCCTAGCTGGTTATACTCCCGTTCATTTAAAACAGAGCAATGTAATGGATGTTACATGAAGTAGTGCAGTATGCATTCTGGTGCTGTAACACATGTCACCTGCATTTGAGCAACTTTAACTTTTTCAGGCAGTAAATAAAATATTGTAAAGATAAATAAATTTATCTTGCATTTCGAAGACAAAAATATGGCAACATTCTACTAAAACGCATTTTATCCAGGAATGCCCGTATTCAAACTGTTTTGTCTATTCCAGTGTCCATATCTCCAATGGACCCAGTAGTGCTTGTTGGGTCCAACCTTACCATAACATGTGAACTTGCCCCGAGGATGATCCCAGGTTACAATGCCAGTGATGTGGGTCTGTGCTGTGACTGTGACATACCTGAGAAAAGACTGGTCATCAGGGCCAGGGATAGGAACCCCGCTGTGTCCACAGGGGACACGCAGGTCAACTTTACTTTGTACAGCTTACCTGATATGTCTGAAGATAAGGCTGGCAAAGTGTGTCTCTGTTTCCTTGGAATATCGCAGTCAAGTAGGACAACTATATTCACAGGGTGTGAGTAAAGTTCGGAATCTGGTTGAAAGGTTCCTGATTTCATTCTTTAAAAATTTTACATAGATACAGGTATATGTAATATGTTTGAAGTAAACATGTAGCTAGAATATATTATGGCATAAACAACAACAACAACAAAATTTCAAACATGCCATGTATAATACGTACCCTTGCTAACCTGTCAAGAATAACATCAACAAAGACATTTTATGTATGGGTCTACCAGATCCTTTTAAATAAAAAGGGTTACTTTGGCAATGCAATTGAGTGTGTGCTAGAAGCTGCAACCAAAGACAAAACATTTTAAATCTGATGATAGAGCTAGGTACCTGTGTTCCTGCAGATGGCACCACCCCAACCATAAAACCTTGTACTCTCTCTCTCTCTCTCTCTCTCTCTCTCTCTCTCTCTCTCTCTCTCTCTCTCTCTCTCACACACACACACACACACACACACACACACACACACACACATGAACACACACACACACACATGAACACACACACACTCATTGGCATTATTGTATGCTTGGACATAATGAAAGGATGTGAAACGTGGAGCAAGATCAAAGGATAATCAGCTTAGTGGGAGCTCTTCATGAAACCATGTGCGTTCGGATCACGTGACCTCCCATACAGGTAGCGAGCATATCGTAATTGACGATGACTTTTTGCATCATTTGGGCAGGTAGTTCGCGATAATGTGAGGCAATCTTTCGGGTGGATGAGACAATAAACTTATAGAGGTTAAGTATAAACAATTTGTTCTATCAATTTGGAAGCTATGTGAGACTTTGAGATGTTTGTTCATGGAGGAATTCAAAATGCCCTATGTGGTAAAGGCAATCTTGTTTGTTGCCGTAAAATGAGCATTTAAAATTGTATAATTTTAGTGTAGCATACTTGTTTTTAGCTATGATCCGATAGGAAATTATTTCTAGTGTCGAAAATTTCTCTCTGTGTGACAAATTAGCCTGAGATGCGGCAGTAATGAAACCTTCAATCGTGTCTTGAATTAAAATGACGCAATTTCTCTCGATTTCTTAGGCTCGCTGACATTTCTTTTAGGCTGGTATTTTTTGTGCACCTTTTAAATAAAGATGACATCAACACCCTCAATATCGTTTCTCGTTGCAATACGGCAAAACACATACATTTGTGACACACAAAAATGCACCCGGGGTGCTTTTAATATCCTTTTATCAAAGTTGACATCAACACTACTATGAACTGTATATTTATGTTCATTTTACCGGCTATTGTCTGCTCGAAATTGGGAATGTTAATTGATAATTTCTTTACTCTCAATATCAGCTCTCGCTGGAAAATGGCACCACATGAATCGGCATTGCTTTTAAACCAGTTATATATCAGCTCTACATAGATCAATACAATCTTGAAAATGATAACAAGTATAGACAAACGCCAGAACCCATTTTAATGAGGTAACAGGAAAAAGATACTAAAAACCCAAAACAAATTTCCACGTGTTGATGTAAGCCTATGGGCTCTCAACTGCAAGATGGCGGCAATGCTGTACCATAGCAACCACTAGGGACTGCGAGAAATTGCGTTATCCATGCAATAGAACAAAAAAAATTCACTGAGGCACAGCGCGCGCTACCTTGATAATACTGTAAACTGTTCAGGCTCCCGTGGAGCTATCAAAACAGCTTATCTGAGACAATAGGCGAATGTTTACCCAAACACACATACCTGTAGCTTCAAAGGAAGATGCCGCGTTTCATGTCCTTTCGTTATTATGTCCAAGTTGTATGTGACAT